GATTTTCTTTGTGGATGATCTGTCCATTGATGTAAGTGGGGTGTTAAATATCCTATTATTGTATTATTATCACTTAGTTCCTTTATGTTTGTAATTATCTATTTTATGTATTTGGATGCTTTCTTGTTGGGTGCATTAATATTTACAATTGTTACATTTTCTTGTTGGATTATCCCTTTTATGATTATATAATGTCCCTCTTCATCTCTTATTACAGTCTTTGTTTCTGTTTTTGTTTTTTCATGTTTATTTTTGAGAACAAGAGAGACAGAGTATGAGTTGGGGAAGGGTAGAGAGGAGGGACACAGAATCTGAAGCAGGCTCCAGGCTCTGAGCTGTCAGCACAGAACCTGATGTGGGACTCGAACCCGTGAGCAAGATCATGACCTGAGCTGAAGTCAGGTCCTCAACTGAATGAGCCACCCAGGTGCCCCAATTACATTCTTTGTTTTAAAGTCTATTTTAGAGCCTAAGTGTCCATCAACGGACGAATGGATCAAGAAGATGTGGTTTATCTATACCATGGAATACTACATGGCAATGAGAAACAATGAAATCTGGCAAATGTAGCAACATGGATGGACCTTGAGGGTGTTATGCTGAGCGAAATAAGTCCGGCAGAGAAGGACAAATATCATATGTTTGCACATATAGGAGGATTAGGAGGAACTTAACTGAGGAACATGGGGGAGAAGAAGGGGGGGAAATGGGGGGAAGGGAGAGAGGCAAACCACGAGAGACTCTTGAATGCTGACAAAAACTGAGGACTGATGGATGTGGGGGGGTAGGGAGGATGAGCACTGGGTGTTATGTGGAAACTAATTTGACAATAAACTATTTGTAAAAAAATAAAAGCTAAAAAAAAATAGTCTATTTTATCTGATATTGCTATCCCAGCTTTCTTTTCACTTCCATGTGCATGATAAATGCTTTTCCATCCCTCACTTTTTTTCTTTTCTTTAGATCTTTATTTTATAGTTTATTGTCAAGTTAGTTTATAATACCCAGTGCTCATTCCAACAGGTGCCTTCATTCGTGCCCATCAGTCCTTTTCCCCTCTCCTCCACCCCCATCAACCCTCAATTTGTTCTCCGTATTTAAGAGTCTCTTATGGTTTGCCTCCCTCCCTCTCAACTATTTTTCCTCCTTCCTCTCCCCCATGGTCCTCTGTTAAGTTTCTCCTGTTCCACATATGAGTGAAAACATGGTATCTGTCCTCTGCCTGACTTATTTCGCTCAGCATAACACCCTGGAGTTCCGTCCACGTTGCTACAAATGGCCAGATATCATTCTTTCTCATTGCCATGTAGTATTCCTTTGTATAGATAAACCACATCTTCTTGATCCATTCGTCAGTTGTCCATTCCCTCACTTTTGATCTGCATGTGTTTTTGGGTCTGAAATATGTGTCTCTTGCAGGCAACATATAGATTGGTCTTGCTTTCTATCCATTCTGTTACTCTGTCTTTCGATTGGAGTGTGTGGTCCATTTACATTCGAAGTAATGTACTTATGCCATTCATGTCATTTGTTTGTGGTTGTTTTGAAGATTTTCTCTGATCCTTTTATGGTTTGCTAGGCTTCTTTAGTGATATATTTGGAGTCTTTTCTCTATTTTTTTCGTATCTGTTACTAGTTTTGATTTCTGGTTATCACTAGGTTTATATGTAACATCTTCTGCAGTCTGTATTAAGTTGATCATTTACGTTTGGACCCATTCTTTACACCCCCCACCTCCCATTTTAGCTATATGTGTCTTATTTTATGGCCTTTTATTTCGTGTGTTCTCTTGACTGGTTTTTTTATTTTGTTTTTTGCAGAAATGTTCATTTTTACTGCTTTTGTGTTTCTTACATTCATACTGTCATTTTTGGTCTTTGCACTCAAGGATTCCCCTTTAATGTTTCTAGCAGAATTGGATTAGTGGCCATGAGCTCCTTGAGTTGTTGTTTGTCTGGGCAACTCTTTATCTCTACTTCAATTCTGAATGTCAGCTTTGCTGGATAGAGTATTACTTTTTTTTTTTTTTTTTTTTTTTAATGTTTATTTTTGGGAGACAGAGACAGAATACAAGCAAGGAAGGGGAAGAGAGAGGGAGACACAGAATCCAGAGCAGGCTCTAGGCTCTGAGTGTCAGCACAGAGCCTTATTTGGGGCTTGAACTCATGAACTGTAAGATCATGACCTGAGCTGAAATCATATGCTTAACTGACTGAACCACCCAGGCGCCCCTGGATAGTTTTCTTTCTTGTCTGCAGGTTTTTCCCATTTTGTACTGTGAAGATATCATGCCATCTCTCTGTCTTGGAAAATTTCTGCTGAAAAGAATTGGTTAATAGGCTTATGGGTTTTCCTTCATATGTAACTGTCTTCTTTTGCTGCTTTTAATATTTTTCTTTATCACTGTATTTTGCCATTTTAATTACAATATGCCTTCGTGTGGATATGCTTATGTTGATTTTGCTGGGAGTTCTTTGTGCCTCTTGAATCTGGATATCTGTTTCCTTCCCCACAGTAGGGAAGTTTTCAGCTATTTTTCTTCAGATAAATTCCCTACCTCCTTTTCTGTCTCTTCTGGGATTCCTGAAACACAAACCTTACTATGTTTGATGGAATCACTGAGTTCCCTAAAGCTATTCTCCTGTCGCGTAATTCTTTCTCTCTTTTCTATAACTTGGTTACATTACTCTTTCTTCTAGTCCATTAATTCATTACTCTGCTTCTTGAGCCTGCTGTTCATTCCATCAAGCAAAATGTTTCTCCTTTCATTTTTGAGCCCGTTATCTCTTTATTTTTCATCATCTCTTTGTCAAGGATCTCATTGATGTTCTCCATTCTTTTCTCAAGTCCATTAAGTATCCTTATGATCGTTGTTTTAAATTCTCCATTAGGTTTGTTAATTATATCTGTTTTATTTAAGTCTCTGGCTGCGGCCTTGTCCTCTTCTTTTATTTGGGACAAATTCCCTGTTTTCTCATTTTGTATAAGTATGTCTACCTGTTTCTGTGTATAAGAAGGTCAGCTACATCTCCTGTTCTTGAAGGTAATGTTCTTATGAAGAAGAGGTCCTGTGTAGCGTCCCCTTGTTCCCCAGGGCCTGCCATTTCTGGTTCTGTCTCCAGTCCATGCTCAACACCAAAAATACCAAATAATCCAATTAAAAAGTGAGCAGAGACATGAACAGACATTTTCCCAGTGAAGACATACAGTTGCCCAACAGACAACATGAAAAGATGTTGAACATCACTCATCATCAGGGAAATACAAATCAAAACCACAGTGAGATATTATCCCACAGTTATCTGAATGGCTAGAATCAAAAACACAAGAAATAGCAGGTTTTGGTGAAGATGTGAAGACAAAGGAACTTCGTGCACTGTTGGTGGGAATGTGAACTGGTGCAGCCACTGTGGAGAACAGTATTGAGCTTCCTCAAAAAGTGGAAACAGAACTACCCCATGATTCAGCAATCACACCACTGGATATTAGCCCAAAGGAAACGAAAACACTAGTTTGAAAAGATATATGCACCTCTGTGTTTATAGCAGCATTATTTACAATAACATAATTATGGAAACAACCCAGGTGTTCATCACTAGATGGATAAAGTGTGGTATACACACACACAGTGGAATATTAGCCATAAGAAAGAATAAAATCTTGCCATTTGCAACAACATGCATGGAGCTAGAGAATGTAATGGTAAGTGAAAGAAGTCAGTCAGAGAAAGACAGGTGCTGTATGTATTCACTCATGTGGAATTTAAGAAACAAAACAAAATGACACAAACCAAAAAACCAGATTCTTAGCTACAGAGAACACACTCATGGTCACCCGAGGGGAGGTGGGTGGGGGGATGGGTGGAATAGGTGAAGGGCGTTAAGAGTACACTTATCATAATGAACACTGAATAATGTATAGAATTGCTGAATCACTATACTGTACACCTGGAACTAATATAATACTGTTAAGTTTACTGGAATTAAAATAACTTTCTTTCCCCGATCATTTTTTTAGAAATTATCTCTGTGATGGAGAAGTGTGTGATAAACCAAATTTAGCAGAATGTTAATTGTACAGTCTAAATATGTACATAGATGTTCACTGTAATTTTTCAACTTATCTGTATAAAAATTTTCATAATGTTAAAAAATGTGAAAAATCTATTTTTATATCACTAATACAGTGGCCACAGGCTACCCATCTATATTACTCTAAATTAAATTACTAAATTACCCTGAAGTAAAAGGATGCCAGTCTTTAGAATAAGTTTCTAATTTCATGGTGTTCTAAATTAGAGCATTAAGGCCATGTTTTATCTTTGTATTTTCAAATAGCTTCATATGTTTTGGTTACATTTTAAAAAGGCAACTTTCCCATTTCAGCCAAACTAATTATGATTAAGTCATCTCTAAAAGTCCTCTAAATGCATGACTTCTTTAATTTTTTTAAAAATGTTTTTATTCATTTTTGAGAGAGAGATCGAGACAGCATGAGCAGGGGAAGGTCAGAGAGGGAGGGAGATACAGAATCTCAAGACAGGCTCCAGGTTCTGAGCTAGCTGTCCGCACAGAGCCCAACGCGGGGCTCAAACCCACGAACCGTGAAATCATGACTTGAGCCGAAGTTGGACGCTTAACTAACTGAGCCACCCAGGCGCCCCAATACATGATTTTTAAGAAAACCTTTTCTTTGTTCCCTATTATTCTCATGATTACCCAGAAGTCTTAATAGTAGTTTGATTCCAGTTCTGTTGAGAGTTAGAGGTATCAAAACTTGCATATATTTTAGGCTCTCTTTCTTTAAAAAAATGTATCTTAGGGTTTAAAAAAAAAAAAAAAGATTAACAATTATTTGGTTTAGGCTTAATCCAAGATTAAAACAGTATTAAACCCTATTTTATGAATGTTACTCTTCTCTTGCAGCTCTATAACTTGCATATACGCATGTGTATGTGTTTGTGTATACATACATTTTTTTTTTTTTTTTTTTTTTTACAGTATTTGAAAGCTGTGATAACTCCAGAGTGTCTTCTGATACTAGATTATCGTAATTTAAATTTAGAGCAATGGCTATTCCGGGAACTTCCTTCGCAGTTGGCTGGAGAAGGACAACTTGTCACATACCCTTTACCTTTTGAGTTTAGGGCTATAGAAGCACTTCTACAATATTGGGTAAGCCTGTATTTTTATTTAGATTCTTGATTTTGTTCTTTTTATGTAAAAAATCTTTTTTAACATGCATTTAAATGTTATAGAGACAGAGCGCAAGAGGGGGGAGAGCCAAAAAGAGGGAGACACAGAATCCAAACAGGCTTCAGGCTCTGAGCTGTCAGCACAGAGCCCGACATGGGGCTCGAACCCACAAACCATGAGATCATGACCTGAGCCGGAGTCAGATGCTTAACGGACTGAGCACCCCTGTTCCTGCTTAAAATTCTGTTGAGCAGGAAGACCGAGTTGGTATTGTTGCAGCGGTGCTTTCCCTAGCCACACCCCGCCTCCAAATAAAACCATCTCTAAGGGCCCTGTATAGACAAAGTCCTTAATTCTTAAGCTGTATGAGCCAATCAAATAGATCTAAGGTTTCTAGGTATAGCTTATAAAGTTTCTTTGAGAATCCTATTAGGACGTTCCCGTAAGCACATTTTAAGTTGGCTGTCCTTTATACAGAGTTGATAACTATATTCAGGGGTGCTAATTCAAAATATTTAACATCCTAAATATGATAGAAAAGAACATATCAAAAAACTTTTAAATATATTCCATTTTATTCTGTAACTACATTGTCTATTTTAAAAGTGCACACACGTGATAAATATTATAGTTCAAATCATTCTAATACTTTGCACACCACACCTTGTTTGTACAGTGCTTTGTTTGAGACGTAATTTGACACAGGAACCATGTGTGATTCTTCTACTGATTCCCCCATTATGTTGATAGTCACTGAGTGTCTGGGGACCCTGTCAGACCCTGAACAAGGGTGGTCACTGGCCTCCGGGCCCCCACAAATTGTTCACAACCTGTCCTCCCCCATTAGGTTAGTATTAGTCAGGAATAAGCTGCATGAGACAGTTGGTCCTGGGAGCTTGCTCACCAGACCGAGGGAGGGGCGCAGAGAAAGAGCGCGCACAGTGGCTGAGGACCTGGTGAACCTAGGCCCTTCTCTCTCATCCGCCCTGCTCTGCATTCCCCGCGCTCACTCTGGGTAATGAAGAAGGAGCTCCAGCTAGTTCCAGCCAGTGCTAGGTGACAAGTTGGAGCAGGGGAGGGAGAGAAGGAGGGAAGGTGCAGCCAGGGTCAGTGACAGGCAACACAGGCTGAGGAAGCTCTCGGGAGCTCCTGCTGAGACTGAGTTTTACTAATTACTGCTTAATTCTGTTATACTATGTGCCACCTCATGTATCAGTATCTACCCACTGGAATAGCTCTGTCAGTGATTTCCTGCTGAATGCCTGCCATGCTTCTGTTTACCTGAATAACAGGTATACTTTTGACTTGACACTGATTTATTTTTTAAAGTCCCAAGTTATGTTTTAGTTTTCAGAAGAATTTATTATGTAGGAATTTTGAACTGCATTCTGTTGACAGAGAACACGGGTTATCAACTGTAGAATTTGTGTTGTAAACGTGGAATGGTAGGTTTCCTTTTAGTCCGTCAGTCTTGCGTTCCTTTCATAACGTTTACAGGGGAAGACCTTAGGGGAGCTGATTCCCTGCCGACCAAGTGCAAGGCCCGTGACGACATCACACGTGGTTATCTCGTAACCCGGTAGATGTAGTTCTTGAGTCGTCTGGTGTCGGCATTCCAGCACTGGCTGTGTTCCCAGCCACTGCAGGTTTCTGTATTTCATCAGAAGGTTCACTGACCCTGAGTATTCTAAAAAGACTATTTTAATTCTTATGTAAGTCATGTTGTTATCTAGATCAGCACTCTTCAGGGGAAACTTAGCGTTTTGCAGCCACTGATCCTTGAGACGTTGGAAGCTTTAGTGGACCCCAAACATTCCTCTGTGGACAGAAGCAAACTGCACATCTTGCTTCAAAATGGCAAGAGGTAAATACAAGTGACTTACCTATTTGGAATGTAGACACAACAGTGAAATGTGTTGCATAAATTCAGATACAAAATTAGTGTGATTCTTAACTATTTTAAAAATACCAACTAGTCTTGGTAATGGTAATGACTTACCCTCCATACTTTCAAAACAGGAAAGTAACCTCGGTGGGAAGTTGAGCTAAGAAGGGCACACAGATTAATGTTTATTGAAAAGCTGTTTTGTATGAAATGCTGCATCAGGGTCTTTATTTTTGGTTTTGGAATTGATTCTCAATGTCCATGGTAAATATCCAAATTTTTTTTTACAAGTCAGTGTTTACCATCAGTGTATATGTGATCTACCTGATAAGATACTTTTACAAAAGGCACTTTTCTTAAAGTGAAATGTGTTTGTAAGTTTGTTATTAATCATTTCTGTACACCTTCTCTTATAGTCTGTCTGAGTTAGAAACTGATATCAAAGTTTTCAAAGAGTCCATTTTGGAGATTTTGGATGAAGAAGAGCTGCTGGAGGAGCTCTGCCTCAGCAAGTGGAGTGACCCGCAAGTCTTGTGAGTATGTAGTCGTGCTTTGCTACTCATTTTGCTGGGATCTGTCTTCTTCAGGGGGTTTTTTTCCTAGAGTACGGAACATTCTATCTAGAGCAGAAAATAGAGGCACGTCTTATCCCCAGTTGTTTCACTGTGTCCCCATATGGATTGCATCTTACTCAGCGTAATTAGGATATATGATACACTTATCATAGTGCTGGTCTATGATAAGTGTAAACACACCATTACCTTTATCTTTGAGGGACTGGCCCCCAATGTGCCCACACATCTACCCAAACAACTTAACGCAGGGAGCACAGCGGAGGAGAGAGAGGTAGTCACACGGGGACAGGGAGAGTGCAGTGACGGATGGGAAGACATGGATGTATATTCTGTGTCTTGTCTAGTGCTCATCTTATAAATGTTTTCTTTTACAAAATTAGAAATCGTTCACTCTCCGTATGCACACTCAAGTTAAATGTTTACTTTGTAAGTACTCAGAATATTTTTGTTTTTTGTAGATGAGTTTTAGAAATTAATGGAGAAATTTTTGTGATTCCCATAGTTTCCATAGTCTGTATAAGTATCTTTTACAGAGCACTTCACTCCTTATTCTCTATGTTGGGGTGGTGGGGTGTGTAAGTAAAAGGGCACAAGATAACTGTTGACATCATTCAAGAACATTTTTCTTCATATGTGAAAATGACATTTCCTTTCCAAGATAAACACATAATGCTCTCTGTGTTCATTTTTAGTTTTTAGTTTTACCTGATTTGCACTAATTTGTATTCCTTCACCAGCATTTACACATCTGGATTTTCCCGTAGCTGGTAGTGCGTATTTGCATGAGAATCCCATGACTTGGGGCCCTGGAATACAGCCGTGCCCCCTGCTTACTCTCATAGTGCTTGGAGGCACTTGACAAAGCCACTCACACACTGGCCTCAATCACAATACTAGAAAAGACAAAGGCCAATTTTGTCATCGGCAGCTAAATATTGTATACAGATTCAGGAAGTTTGTGGTATGAATGTCTGATGCATGTATTAGGGGAGTGTTAGTTATGTTAATGCTTTTAATTAAAGTGAAAAGAGCAGTGCTGGAATCGACCATGCAGAAGAAATGGAATTGCTGTTGGAAAACTACTACCGTTTAGCTGACGATCTTTCCAATGCAGCTCGGGAACTCAGAGTGCTGATTGATGATTCGCAGAGTATCATATTCATCAATCTAGACAGGTAAAAAAGCATTCTGTAAAACAGCCAGTGAATACTTTCTTTTAAAGTAAGTCTAAAGTGATAAAGCTTTTTTTTTTTTTTTTTTTTTAAATAGTTTATTTTCAAATTAGTTTCCATAAAGTGATAAAGCTTCTAAGGAACTGTCATTTTTAGGAGCAGTTACATCATCGTTATCTATAAATGCTACATGGCAGTATGTCTTTTTTTTTTTTAAGGTATAGATTTAATTTATGTGGCATTAATAGACTACTTCGTGAAATCACTGTGTATGGTCAGTGGGCCAGTCTCATCTAAGTACATGTTCTCTCCAGCCACCGTAATGTGATGATGAGGCTGAACCTGCAGTTGACCATGGGAACCTTTTCTCTTTCACTGTTTGGACTAATGGGAGTTGCTTTTGGAATGAATTTAGAATCTTCCCTTGAAGAGGTGAGACTGCATTTCAATATTAGGGATTATTTTCTGTGTTTTGGAGATAATTTTTTAAAATGGATTATAAGGGGCGCCCGACTGGCTCAGTTAGTTGAAGGTGTGACTCTTGATCTCAGGGCGTTGATTCAAGTCCCACATTGGATGTACATTGCTTGAAAATAAAATCTTAAAAAAATAAAATGGCTTTCAGAAATAGCCTTAAAATGTATACACCCCTAGTGAATTAAAATGTCTAAGTCATTCAAAATTCAAGCAGGGTTTTTAGCCCCTGTTATAAGGTAAATATAACTGTAGCCGGGGTTAGCCCAGGTTTCTCAGGACCTGGAGCCACACGTGGGAAAGGTCTGACAAAACAGCCCCACACCTGAGGGGTGCTTGTGCAGGATCCCACTGTGGCTCCGGTGGGATTAGGGGCACAGGGAGGCGGTGCTCTGCTGCGAGGTGTGGCCTGCACAGGGTCACACAGAGAGATGGTGATCCAGAAGGATTGCTCCGGGGGGAGGCGGCGGTGCCCGGTCGTGCCGGTAGGTGCCAGTAACACAGGGTCACTTGATGCAACTGTGAGTCCGCAGGATCTTAGCATGACGTTCTGGTGAGGCCGGATCGCATCGAGGCCCTGCTTGTGCAGCGTGGCACCAGGAGGAGGTGGCGACGCAGGATCATATCATGAGGGGGCGCCAGTGAGGGTGGCTCAAGTGCGGACTCCCTGGGGTGGGGGGAGGGCGCAGGCAGTGCTGGTGCTGGGTCGCCCAGTGGGGCCGTGCACAGGTTCCTGAGGCACTGGTGTGCAGGGAGGGGGCGGGGTGCTCCTGCAGGATCCTGCCAGGAGGTGGCGGTAGTTCCTAATCACACAGTGAGGCTGTGCTATTGAAGACCTTTTTCCTAAATCTGATGTGGCGGCCATTTGGTAGTTTGCTTATTTCAGTCACAGCTCTGAAGACAGAAGTGTCCCCCTACTTTATAGATGAGAAAACTGAGGCTCAGGAAATTGAGGTATTTGATCAAGGGCTCAGTGCTCTAGTATGACAGGATTTGAGCCCGAGACTGGTCCTTTGCACTTTGCTGCACTTCCACGTTAATGTAACACTGAACTGCCCGAGTTCTTCGCATCATTGCAGCCTTGTGTTTTCAGAAAATCTCTGCTGTAAGATTTCCAGAAAATAATCTGAGTGTGCACTCAGTGCTCCTGGCTCTGTGTCCTGCTAACCTGTAAGGTCTGTTCTCTGTCCCTTTTGCTGTCCTCGTACAACCCATGTTCTGTCTCATCGGGACCCTTCCCGCTTCTAGAAGCAAATATGGCGGTCACCCTTCTGTGAAGCTGCAGGGGCGTCTGATTGTCCTTAAGCAGGCAAGCCCCTTGGCTGCAGGGCCCACCTGGCGGTGCCCGCATCTGCGCGTGGAGCCGCCGCCGCCGGCCGTGCTGCACCGGGCGTCTGCACAGGCTCCCGTCCTCCCGCGCACGCTGCCGTGCCTCAGCCTCCTCTGCCTGGTGGGCTCCTGCCTACCTCTCGGGTCTCAGCTTACTTGTCACTTCCAAGGACAGTTGTCGCTGAGGCACAGTCGGTTTTAGTCATTTTTTTTAATGTTTTATTTATTTCTAGGAGAGAGAGAGAGACAGCGTGAGCAGGGGAGGGTCAGAGAGAGAGGGAGTCACAGACTGAAACAGGCTCCAGGCTCCGAGCTGGCAGTCAGCACAGAGCCCAACGCGGGGCTCGAACTCACGAACGGCGAGATCATGACCTAAGCGAAAGTCAGGCGCTTAACCGACTAAGCCACCCAGGCGCCCCCAGTGTTAGTCATTTTAATGCTCCTTATACTAAGATGTAAAGAAAACTCGATGCAGTGCCTGCATTTGTTCGTCCTCTCAGCTCAGTTCTGCTGCCTGTTGCGTCCAGCCCTGGGGAGACGGCGGGGAGCCCCTGCCCACGTGGGGGTCACGGCACAGTAGGAGCGCGCAGCAGCAGACACGTGGTCCGTTAGGTGAGACGTGCCGTCAGGAAAAGCCAGGCAGAAGGATAGTGCTCACGGGAAGTGGGGTGAGGAGACAGGCTGGTCAGGGCAGGCCTTCCGGGGGGCTGGCACGACTTAGGGGGATGGTCTGTGCTGAAGGTGCTCTGAACACAGGGCTGAACACAGGGCTGGGGGTGGGGTGCACGCACGACTGACTGGAGCAGGAATGGGCTGCCCTTCTTCAAGGGGCAAGAAGGCCAGAAGGGACAGGAGCAGTGAGTCCTGAGGAGAGAGGTAGGGGACAAGGGCACAGAGCAGACAGGCGGAGATCGTGTTGGTTCTGGGGAGTCGAGCTAGGGCACGGAGTTTGCGCATGGTTCGGAGGCCAGGACTCTTGGCAGTTGCTCTGTGGTAGCTCCCGCACATGCAGGCCTGGGCGTGGAGCGGCCCCCTGCTGAGGAGAGGCGCTTCCGCACAGAACAGGATTCCCATCAGTGCCTCAGCGGGTACAAACCCCATCTCTGGGGGTCCTGAAGCGCAGCCCAGACACATTTCCTAAATGCACAGATGTCAAGGTCTCTGCCCCTGTGTAGACAGGGTTAGTGTTGACGTGGTCACTGTAGGATAGGGGGAACTTTTTTTTTCTCTAAGATAATTTTAGACTCTTCCAAGAGTAGTCACAGAATTCCCATAGATCCTTCATGCAGTTTCTTCAAACACCGACGTTACATCACATTCACGGTAATTCTGTCTGCACAACCTTTACTCCTGGAACCGCTGGAGAGTAAGCAACAAATGTGACGCCCTTTACCTCTGCATGTTTCAGTATGTACATACTTCCTAAAAACATGGGTGTTCTGTAACCACAGTGCAGATGTCCGAATCAGGAAACTGACATTGAAACAGTGCTGTTTACAGTCTGTGGGCCCTATTCAGATTTTGCATTTGTTTCAGTGCTGCCCTTCATCTCTTGGAAGACCTTAGATCACATAGTTACCCTGTCTCCTGAGACTCTTTTAATTTAGCCCAGTCTTTTGATCTTTGTCTTCCGTGGCCATGACATTCACAAGGAATACAGATTAGTTACGTGACCCTTGAAACCCTTTCTTCATTATTAGATTGTGGTTATGCACTATGTCCATATGTTCTTACACTGAATCCCATCCGGAGGCACATGATGTCTGTCTGTCCCATTATTAGGACCATTTGGTTAGGGTGGTGTCTGCCCACCTTCATCCCCTGTAACGTCACTCTGTTTGTGGAATGAAATAACTCATAAGGGGATACTTTGAGACTATGTAAAGATCCTGTTTTTCAGATTTTCACCTTCTGGTTTTTGCATTCATCAGTTGGCCCAAAACTAATTCATACCTGAATCAAATATTACAAATTACATTTGGTAACCAAATTTTTTTTCTAGTTTTTTATTCTAATTCCAGTTAGTTAACATACAGCATAGTATTAGTCTCAAGTGTATAATGTAGTGATTCAGCACTTCTGTACATCACCCAGTGCTCAGTAAGTACACTCCTGAATCCCCATCATGTTTCCCGCATCCTCCCACCCACCTCCCCTCTGCTGACCATCAGACTGTTCTCTACAAGAGCGAGTTTCTCACTTTATCTTTTTCCCCCCTTTACTTTGTTTCTTAAATTCCACATGAGTGAAATCATATGGTATTTGTCTTTCTCTAACCTTTTAATTAACGTTTGTTTGTTTAGAGAGAAAGTACAAGCCGGCAGGGCAGAGAGAGAGGGAGAAGGATTCCCAAGGAGAATCCACACTGTCAGTGCAGAGCCTGATGCAGGGCTCGATCTCCCCAACCATGAGGTCATGAGTTGGTAGCCTAACCAACTGAGCCACCCACGTGCCCCATGACTGACTTGTGTGTGTACAAAAAACCCATCTTCTGTATCCATTCATTGATGGACACTTGGGTTCTTCCATTGTTGTAAATAATGCTGCCAACAACATAGGGGTGCATATATCCCTTTGAATTAGTGTGTTTGTATTCTTTGGGTGAATACATAGTAGTGTGATTGCTGGATGATAAGGTAGTTCTGTTTTTACCTTTTTGAGGCACTGTTCACAGTGGCTGCAGCAGTTTGCATTCCCACCAGTAGTGCAAGAGTTTCCTTTTTCTCCACATCCTCCCCAGCACCTGTTCTTTCTTGTGCTGTTTGTTTTAGCCCTTCTGACCAGTGTGAGGTGATCCCTCATTGTGGTTTTGATTTGCATTTCCCTGATGATAGGTGATGATGAACGTCTTTCCATGTGTCCGTTCTGTTGACTATCTGTATGTCTGCTTTGGAGAAGTGTTTGTCTTCTCATTTTTTAATTGGATTGTTTGTGTTTGGGGTGTTAAAGATCAGTTTTTTATATATTTTGGATACTAGCCCTTTATCATATATGTCCTTTGCAAATATCTTCTCCCATTCCATAGGCTGCTTTTAGTTTTGTTGATTGTTTCCTCTGCTGTGCAGAAGATTTTTATGTTGATGTAGACCTGATTGTTTTTGCTTTAGTTTCCATTGCCTCAGGAGACGTATCTTGAAAGAAGTTGCTGTGCCAGTGTCAAAGAAATTACAGCCTGTGTTCTCTGGAGGATTTTTATAGTTTCAGGTCTCACATTTAGGTCTTTAATCCATGTTGACATTATTTCTGTGTATAGTGTAAGAAAGTGATCCAGTTTCATTATTTTCTTTTGCATTTACTTGTCAGGTTGAGCCAACACCGTTTGTTGAAAAGACTGTCTTTTTCCACAGGAGGCATATTCTTACTTCTTTTGTCAAAGATTAATTGACCATATAATTGTGAGTTTATTTCTGGGTTTTTGATTCTGTTCCATTGAAGTGTCTGTTTTTGTGTCAGTACCATACTGTTTTGATTATTACAGCTTTGAAATATGAGTGAAGTCCAGAATTGTGATGTCTCCACCTTTTCTTCTGTAAGTTTGCTTTGGCTATTTGGGGTCTTTTGTGGTTCCGCACAAATTTTAGTATTGTTTGTTCTACCTCTGTGAAAAATGCAGAGGTATTTTGATAGGAACTGCACTAAATGTGGAGATGGCTTTGGGTATTATAGACAGCTTAACAATATTTATCCCTCTAATCTATGACCATGGAATGTCTTTCCATTTATTTGTGTCGTCTTGAATTTCTTCTTTCATCTGTGTTTTATACTTTTCAGAGTATATAGGTCCTTCGCCTCTTTGGTTGGGTTTATTCTAGGAATCTTACTATTTTTTTATATAATTGTAAATGGGATCTTTTCTTAATTTCTCTGCTTCATCATCAGTTTATAGAAATGCAACAGATTTCTGTACATAGATTTTGTCCACTGCAGCTTTACTGAACTCATATATCCACTGTAGCAGTTTTTTTGGTGAAGTCTTTCAGGTTTTCTATATATAGTTTCACATCATCTGCAAATAGTGAAACTTTTGTTACCAATTTGGATGCCTTTCTTTCTTTTTGCTGTTTGATTGCTGAAGCAAGGACTTCTAATACTATGTTGAATAAAAGTGGTGGGAGTGGACATCTTTGTCTTGTTTTTGATCTTAGAGGAAAAGCTCTTAGTTTTTCCCAATTGAGGATGATATTAGCTATTGGGTTTTCCTGTATGCAGACTTTATTTTGTTGAGGTATGTGACCTCTAAACCTACTTTGTGGAGGCTTTTATCATGAATGGGTGTTGTACTTTGTCACATACTTTTGTTGTATCTGTTGAAATAATGTAGTTTTTATCCTTTCTCGTGTGGATGTGATTTATCATATTGATTGATTTGTGAATTTTGAACCACCCTTCCTTGCATCATAGGAGTAAGTCCTATTTGCTGGTAATAGGTCTTCAGATTTCCTATTTCTTCCTGATTCAGTTTTGGGAGGTTATATGTTTCTAGGAATTTATCCATTTTTCTAGGTTGTCTAATTTCTTGGCATATAATTTTTTCATAATCCTGATTTATAATCCTTTGTATTTCTGTGACATCACTTATTTTCCGTTTCATTTCTGATTTTTTTTAATTTTGTTTTTTAATGTTTGCTGGGGAGGGGCAGAGAGAGAGAGAGAAAGAATCCGATGCAGGCTCCAGGCTCCGAGCTGTCAACCTAGAGCCCAATGTGGGGCTTGAACTCACAAACCGTGAGATCTTGACCTGAACCGAAGTTGGACATTTAACACACTGAGCCACCCAGACACCCCCATTTCTGATTTTCTTTTGAGTCCTTTCTCTTGTTTCTGAAGAGTCTGGCTAAAAGTTTATCAATTCTGTTGACCTTTTCAAACAACCAGCTCCTAGTTTCATTGATTTATTGTTTTTTTAGTTTCTGTTTATTTCTGCTCTAATCTTTATTCTTTCTTTTCTTCTACTGGCATTCAGTTTTATTTCTAGTTCCTTTAGATGTAAGGTTAAGTGGTTTATTTGAGGTTTTTCTTCTTGAAGTAGGCCTATATTGCCATAAACATCCCTCTTCACACCACTTTTGCTGTATCCCAAAGATTTTGGATCATTGGTTTTTCATTTCGTTTGTATCCCTGTATTTTTTCATTTCCTCTTTGATTTATTCATTGTTTAGTACTGTGTTATTTAACTTGCATGTATTTGTGGTCTTTACAGATTTTTTCCTTGTGGTTGATTTCTAGTTTCATAGCATTGTGGTCAGAAAAGATATGTGATATGACTTTAGTCCTTTTTTTGAGACTTGTTTTATGTCCTGATATGTGATCTGTTCTGGAGAATGTTCCATGTGCACCTGAAAAGAATGTGTATTCTAGGATGGAATGTTCTGAACATAGCTGGTAAATCCATTTGGTCCAATGTGTCATTCAAAGCCACCATTTCCCTAGTGATCTTCTGTTTGGATGATCTGTCCATTGATGTAAGTGGGGTGTTAGAAGTTTCCTACTATTATTGTATTGATTACTTCATGTTTGTCATTAACTGTTTAATGTATTTGGGTGCATTCATGTTGGGTACATTAATATTTACAGTTGTTATATCTTGTTGGATTGTTTGCTTTATGATTATTGTAGCATCCTTCGTCTTTTTCCAGTATTTGTTTTAAAACATACTTTTTTCATCTAAGCATTGCTATCCCAGCTTTCTTTTCACATCCATATGCAAGATAAGGGTTTTCCCATCCCTTCAACTTGTCTGTGGTATCTTTAGGTCTGAAATAAGGGTCTTGTAGGCAGTGTATAGATGGGTCTTGGTTTTTTGTTCATTCTGTCACCTATGTCTTTTGATTGGAGCATTTCGTCCATTTACATTCAAAGTAATTATTGATAGGTATATACCTTTTGCCATTTTGTTACTTGTTTTATGGTTGTTTTTGTAGTTCTTCTGTGTTCCTTTCTTCCCTTGCTCTCTCACAGTTAGTTGGCTTTCTGTAGTGATATACTTGGATTCCTTTCTCCTTATTTTTTACGTAGCTATTACTCGTTTTTGATTTGTGGTTACTGTTAGGTTTGAAATAACATCTTCTGCGTATAACAATCTGTATTAAGCTAGTGTTCACTTAAGTTTGAATCATCCTCTACTCCTCTGCCACATTTTAGGTATATGGTGTCGTACTTTACATCCTTCTAGTTTGTAAAAACCAATCAAGGGACTCACAGACATACTTATTTCTACTCCTTTTGTTTCTCCTTTTCATACTCTCACTTACAGTCTTTCCCAAGAGTCCCTTTTAACATTTTTTGTAAGGAAGGATTAGTGATGATAAATTCTTCATACTTGTTTGTCTGAGAAACTCTTTTCTTCTGTTCTGAATGATAGCCTTGCTGGATAGAGTACTTTTGGATTGTTTTTAATTCTTTTACATTTATTTATTATTGAGAGAGCGAGAGAGAGAGAAAGCACGAATAGGGGAGGGGCAGAGAGAGGAGACACAGAATCTGAAGGAGGCTCCAGGCTCTGAGCTGTCAGCACAGAGCCCAACCTGGAGCAGTAACTCCGGAGCCATGAGGTCATGACCTGAGCTGAAGTCAGACGCTCAACCAACTGAGCTGCCCAGGCGCCCCGTGGATAGAGGAATTTTGGTTGCAGATTCTTTCCTTTCATCACTTAGAACAGATCCTGCTACTCCCTTCTTCTCTGCAGTTTCTGCTGAAGAATTGGCTGATAGCCTTATGGAATTTCCTTTGTATTTAACTTTCTTTCCTGTTGCTGCTTTTAATATCTTCTCTTCCTCACCACTTTTTGCCATTTTAATTGCCATGCGGCTTGGTGTGGACGGCCTGGGTTGGTTCTGCTGCTTCTGTGCTCTGTCTCCCCTGGGCTGTTTCTTGTGTTGGCTCTTTTAAGGCAGGGACTCAGTTTCCTCTTGCCCTCTTGACTCTCCCAAAGTTGAGCCTGCTGGTTTATTTATTTTTTAAGTTTACTTACTTATTTTTAGAGTCAGACAGGAGGAGGAAGAATCCCAAGCAGGCTCCACACTGTCAGCACAGAGCCCAATGTGGATTTCGAACACAACAAACCATGAGATCATGACCTGAGTTGAAATCAAGTGTCAGACGCTCAATCACCTAAGCCACCCAGGCGTCCAAGCCTGCTGAGTTTTTAAATTCAGGTTTTAAGTCCTGCTGATTATTAGAATTTAGCCCCTCTGGTTTACAAAGCCAGTGTTCTGTGGACTCGCCTTCCCATGCTGGCTCGCCTTGTGAGGGGCGGTTTCTCTCCCCTCTTCTGTGCCAGCTGGTTCCTCCCTCTGTGCACACCCCCCACCCTCTGGGATGTGGCCTCTTCTCTACTTACACTTGCCGTCTGCTCTGCCAGTCTTCGGGTCATTTCTGGGTTGTTAACACTAATGTGAGTGTTGTCTAGTTGTGTCCTGGGCCGAGGTGAGTTTGGGGTCCTCCTCCTGCACCATCTTCCAAATGCAGTTTTTCAGTGTGTATTTTAGTCTGCAGCAAAGACCGTAGTAATCTGTGTATGCTGCGTCTCCCTTAAACATAACTTCTACCTCATAAACTAGGGTTTTTTTTATTTTTTTTTTTGAGGGGATAACTGGAAACGTGTTCACAGGAAGTTAACTCTCTAGCACTTGTCTTCTTCCTGATATCCTCTGAGTTCATGTTCCATTGAGGAGTGGGTTTCTCCTTCATGTGTGGTGTGACTTTCTGTTGGTGATAGTTTATCATTTGTGTAATAGAACTACTGGCGGGAGAGGCGAGCTCTCAGTCCCTGGAGCGAACCAGGCTGTGGCTTAGAGCCACCTAATGACAGAGCTGTAGGTGGGGTCCTCCCCTGTGGGTCAGTAAACATCAAGTCTGGTTCTGTACATGATGCAAAAATACAACTGTAAAAATGATAGTGAAGGAAAAGGTCTACTGTAAGTTGGAGGTTCCCAAACTTCCTTGGCTCACGATGCTTTTAGTGTCTTTTCATAGCATCACTAGACCAAAAAAAATTTTATTTTTTTTTACTACATTATGGTTTTTGTGATGGTCCTAACAATTTTTTTTTATGAAGTTAGGCCAGACAACTTATGAGTAGTGGAGTAGTGGTTCTCATAGTACATTGCAGATGTCACTGTGTTTCTCTTAGAAACATAAAATGTTTTAGGGGTGTTGTCATACTCAGGTCACTGCAGCTGTACACAAACACTGTTTGTGTCCTCTGTGGGAATAACTAGATTTGCACCCATTTAACAAAGACTGGAGGGAAACACAAAGTAAAGGTTATTTTTGGCTTATAGATTATTTTAAAATATTTAAACCCTTTTAAATCATGTTGTTTCCCTTCTAATTTATTGTTGATTCTTTAGTCCCTGGGTGTGATCAAGGCTTGTTCTTAGGTCCTTCCTACAGAAGAGAGCCGGACAGACAACAAGAGGCTTCTTTTAAACACTGGGGCAAGAATAATGTGGGAAATTCTACCACTAAGGAACCTAGCCTTTTGTGACTGAAATTAACTCTGTGTTCTCCTTTAGGACCATAGGGTGTTTTGGCTGATTACAGGAATTATGTTTATGGGAAGTGGCCTCATCTGGAGGCGTCTGCTCTCATTCCTCGGACGACAGCTCGAAGCTCCTTTGCCTCCTGTGGTAGGTGGTGTGAGGGTCGGGCTCGCAGCAGTACCGCACAGGCGTCACATCGGGCTCCCCCGAGACACGTGGCCCCAGGCTCTGCGACCCTGAGAACGTTACTGAATTTCGCTAAGCCTGCCTGAGTTTCCCCCTGTCATTTAAAGTACTCGTGGGAGAATTAATATTTGGAAAGTACTCCCCAGCACAGTGCCGGGCCCAGTAAGCAGGTTAGAAATATGTGCTGTGGGAGCAGCACTGGGCCGAGCATCGCCAGCCGTTCTGCTGCAGGCCGGGCCCCAGCCCCGACTGGGATGCAGACGGCGTCGTGCTCTCACGACCATAATCCTGTACTCCTTTTCTTCCCCTTCTACTCCTCGTCCACGGCAGGAGTAAACACTAAGATAGGGATACAGGGCTTGGAGTCCTTCCCTCCTATGGTAGTCACTCATCTTACTAGTGGCTTTTCTTTTAAGACAGACACCAACTAAAATGACAAATTTTCCTGCTTTATTTAGATGGCCTCTTTACCCAAAAAAACCCTTCAGGCAGATAGAAGCATGGAGTTGAAACACAGCTTCCGGCCAGACGGATCAAGCAGGAGCGTCCTGACAAACCGTTGGAGTCCTTGACCCGGTACAGACCGGATGATTTTTTGATGGTCGTCATGAGAAACTTGGTACCTTTATTTTCTTTTATAGAATCAGAGACTTGAAAAAAAATCACTGATACTTTAATGTCTGATAAAAATATTAGGGCACTCACAATACTAGGATTTAATTGCATTTTCAGGATTGAGTAAAGCAGCAAAGTACTTGCTTTGTAAAAGGCCAAAATTCTATCTTCCACAAACTGAAAAGGCTATTTTTAGAGACATGATGTGAGGCATAGAGAGACTGACTTCTACGTATCAAGAAAAGTACAGCCTCACGCCAAGCAAAGCCTGAATATCTGACTAACTCACAGTGATGAGATCCAGTAGCAGGAGCTCTGAGCAAGTTCCCAAGAGCATGATTCCGACTGGAAAGGCGGGAAAATATATATTATCCTTAAAACGCAGAAAGTTTGTGCTTTACATCAGACTTTTCTTGTACTTGCCTCCTTTTTATGTAAGGCAACTAAAAAGGAAAGGATTGCATGGAAAGGAAAGCTTACATGGATTCCAGTTAATCAAGATTTCACTTTCTTGAACCTTGGAACTAGTTTTCTCTGCTTGGCTATAATTAAAGCCTTTGGAAATAGCGTTAAAAGAAACTATTTGCCTCTGTTACTTAGTCGTTCCCTGACTTTAGACAGAGGGGTCACCTCAACCACCCCACCCCTGGACAAGAAAGTGTACGTAGTCTAGTCAGTCTATATGTCCACACCTCAGAAGCTGACAGACGGGCTTCGTAAAACCAAAAGGTAGATAAACTTCAGAACTGTGACACCTTTTTCTACTCAGTCAGGTTGGGATTCAGAACCGTGGCTAATATTTGTAAGTCTCCAAGTTGCTATTCAACTACAATTTTATATTTTCTGGAGGTCAGATAACAGTTATGCAATAGAACATTATAGCTTTCCTTCCCTTCAGAAGTAACAGGGAAGATTCCAGTGTCCAGAGGTTTACCTGAAACTATAACAGGATATCACATGAGGAAGTTGAGGAGTCCATTTACGCAAGTGGGTTGGTGATAGGAAGAAAAATGCCGTTCCAGGAGCTGCTTTGAGAGAAAACAGATGAAGTTGTAAGTTTTTCCCGTTCCCAGGAGTGGTTACGAGAAGCCTTGAGAGGTGGAGGACAGACGGGGGGAGCGGGCCTGGGCTCGGAGCCCTGCGGGATGTGTAGGGAACGGGGTAGACGTAGCTCTCTAGTGCCGTAAATCTGTGGTGGTTTTCTAAACAGTCTCTCCAGTGATGCTTGGAATCCATGGGACGCGCTGTGGCCTACCTCGCGCACCTGCCGCTGGTCATAAATATTAACTGTGACGGGACGAACTGAAAGCCCAGAGGACTTTGATTTGCCTGATCTCAGGCAAATCGTAGAATTTTGGCCTTTTTGGGGTGACTTAGTTTGCAGACTTGGGTAAAAATATTTTTGAGGAGTCCTGTCTTGTCAATAAAAGAAATGCAACTACCTCCTAAGTCTGCAGAGAAGTCACTGATGGTTTATCAGATTTTCAAAGGTGCTTAGATCAAATTTGATTTCAAAATGTCAGCGCTGCTTTGCTGACAGTAAATAAGACCGTCTGTACTGAAAATATATTAAGTGGTTTTAAATGTTGAAGTAGACTGAGCACATAAACTATCTGTAAATAAAACGAGAATACCAAATACTTGGTTACGTAAGCAAGCAGTCTTATCGCCTGTGTAGCAAGTTCAAGGAACGATATTCTTCATAGACTGTCCCTTTCTGGAAGTCCTCTAAGAAAATGCAACAGAAAATAGCATCCTAAAATGGCATCTGAACACTTGCTTTATTCTTGATAAACAAATTGTAATAACCACTAAATAAAAAGATGTTGGGGGACTTATCCTAAGAGGTGTGTACAGCTTTATTTTTTTGGAATTACAATCTTAAACACACTTTAGTTTCCGGATTTACTTTCGTTATTTCAGCGGTACCTGTGGGGGTGGTGCCTGGTCTGGGGCCTTCAGAGACCGGAGTTTATTCCCAAACTCCAGACCTTGTTAGACCTGTGGTTCAAAGGCATAAAACCATTCTGCTCTTGAAGCAAGTTGTTACATATACAGGTAATAGGAAAACAAAACACATGTACATACTTGCAATTAGGGTAACAGATAAATTATTTCAGATTTGAGTTAATGATTAAAACCCTACAAGGTGTTTCGTTACGCATTTCAGAATCCGTGCTGAGAACCAGTTAGTAGTAGAGTGAGAATGTAGCCACGTTACGCAGGAGACTTCTATGCCAGCTTGACCTTCGACAGTAGGAATACAAATAAGCACTTCTGAATATGGGATTAATATGGGTAAATGTCCTACATAAAACCCTACACGAAAACTTGTCTCCAACCGTAAAAATTTTAACCTTCTCCACCCAGTATCTGTAGACATTAAGAAAAACGGAAATCGTTAGGTAAATAGAGCCTGTGTTGAAACACGATCCTTGTCAGTGAAGTGTGGACACTGCACAGCGCTGGCAGTGTGAAGGCACGCATGCTCGTCAGGAAAGGTCCGGTACTACACAGGAGTCTGTCACACTTGGACTTCTCACCTTGTGTTACAGCAACTAAGTTCTGGCCCCTCAACTAAATTTCCCTTTAACTAAAAGCAATGCACATAAGGGAGCTACCGATAATTGTTACCCAAGTGGAACGAAACGGATTTGTGCTTTCTGCTGTTCCCTAGGGAACCGTGCAGCTGGCATACCTCTTCAGGAGCGATGACAGTCGCGGGAGGCATCCAGAGGTGACGGTGTCCTTTGTTTCCCTGTGTGTACTCACCTGGGCCCACACTTAACTCCCGTAGCTTTCCCTGGAGTTCTGATTCAGCCTTTACGCTTCTGCTGGATTCCTGCTTCCCTGCACCAGTCTCTCCTCCGCCTCTAAGAAGCTGAGAGGGGCTCCTGACCTTACTCACCAGTGCTCTTCCCTGTCACGGGGTCAGCGCGTAGGGAAGCCAAAGGCCCGTGCTGGAGTCCCCTCCCCTCAGGGTGCGGCGCTGCGGGCACCAGAACCAGACAGAGCACGGCTGGCTTCGCTCCCTCGCTCCCTCGCGGCGGCCACTGGCTCAGGCCAGACCTCCCTTTCTGCACAGCGTGTAGCAGCGCAACGCGAGAGCAGCTCCTCTGGAAGGACCTAGAACAAGGGTCCCTACTGCTCTGCCAGTCAGCACGGCCGCTCCTACCCGCGCACGTGAGGGCCCCGAGGGGTGAGGAGGCCTGAGGCTCGCGTTTAGCCCTCACTGTAGGCGACTCCGCGCAGCCAGCCTCACGGCAAGGGGCCGAACCGCTTCGCACGGGTGACTGTGGAGGTGGAGGTTATCCTTCACCCCCCGACTTCTCACTGCTGTTTCTCTAGCTTCTTTCCTATATACTATTGCGCTTTGATTGGAATGGGCCACCATTTTTAAAAGGACGTTTTCAGGAGCAACTGTGACAGGGTTTCCTGCCTCCTGGGAAGGAGAGGCGCCGTCCCAGGCAGCAGGAAGGCCGCGCTCGTCCTGTGAGGAGGGGGATGTGGTCCAGAGGTCGCGCACAGGCACGCAGCTGGGGCTCAGGTGACATGCAAGGGGAGCGGGGACTGAGCCTCTGGAAGGGGGGGCGGCTACGCGGAGCACCGGTCACCGCTCCCAGGAGCCCCGCCTCCGGCTCCGGCAGGCTCTCCCGGGGCTCCCTTGTCTCCCTTGTCCCCAGGACGCTCCCCCCCCCCCCCCCCCCCCCCCCCCCCCGCCAGCCGCCGTCACGAGAGACAGTGAAGCCCTTAGTCTCCGCCGAGGCTGTAGACGTGAAGCGCCCCGGAGAGTCGGGCTCCCAGCGAGCTCCTTCCAGCAGCAACGACAACTTGGTTCTGCGGGGGACACAAGACAGGGGCACGGGTAGCGCCGCGACGCCTCTGCCGTAGCCCGGCATCCCGTCACGTCTGGCGAGCAGCCACTGCTTCAGCCCCACAGCGTCCGGGCCCCAGGGCGGAGGAAGCCCAGCCGCCTCTCTGCGGGCAGCAGTGCCGGAAGCCGGCTCAGCAGGGTCCGCGCAGCCCGGGCCGCGCCCCTCCGGGGGCCAGGGCTCGTGCTGGGAGCCTGGACTGACCCCGACCCAAGGCCGGAGCACCGCGCGACCGTGGGACAGCCGCGCGTCCAGAAGGCGTACTACTGGCCGCCGCGTGCCCTCTCCCGTGCGCCCGCTCGCCACACCGCCCTTCGCTTCCGGCTTCCGCCCCGCTGTCCAAGGAAAAAGAAAGCCCGTCCTTCCCCTGCTGTATGGAAGCCTTCGCTTGATTTGCCTGCAGTTGAGCTGTGAGCCTCGCCTCCATTTCAGGCCTCCCTTCCCGCCTCCGGTCCCTCTAGTCCCCTCCACTGGTCCGAGGGGGCACGTGTTGCGGGTCCCCCTAGACCGTGAGCACCTGCGGGGACAGGGCTCGCGAGCGCGCCCGGCCCGGACTCTGGCTTCCCACTGCTAACCCGAGTCCCCATCCACGAGCCCCCCGACCAGCCGTCTTTAAACGTGCGCGCTGTCCACGTGCAAAGGTGCACACGTGCTTGTCCCGGAGGCCGGAAGAAACCGTACCGGCCTCGTAGCAGCAGTTACCCGACATGGCGGGGTTTGCAAACTCTCCGCGAGGGCCGCATAGTGACTGCCTGAGGGGCACAGCGGGCTCTGGGACAGTTAATCAACCGCCACTGCAGTACAGTAGCTGCCGAGGGGACGCAGGAGCAGCCGTGTGTTCAGTAACACTCGGGACGCTGCGTGGAGGTCTCCTGTGTCAGGGCGATCCTGGCTTTCCATCCACTTAAACTGTTAACAGTCATTTTTAGTTCACGGTCTGTATAGAAACTAGTCCCTCAGGCTGTAATTCGCGCGCCCAGCCCTGAAGGCTGAGTGGGAAAGTGATGGGCTTGGGTAGGGAAGTTCCGTTCTCGTGTTCCTCTTTTTCAAATAAAATCTAAGAGATGAAGGACCATCCCCACCCCCACCCCCAGCTTAGGATATAAATGTCAGGACCGTCGTTATACCCACCTTGTCTTTTGACCTCACGGTGATCACAGAGCTCCCAAACCTTGAACTTGCCTGTAAAACAGGGTCTGTTAACGGTCTTTTGAAAACCCACCGTGACATTTTACCAGTCTACAGTCAGGGAAAGGCACTTCAGCGGGCTCTCTCTTCAGTCCTTGCGGAGGTACTTACTTCAGGAGAAATCAGTACGTACTGAGCCTGAAAGGAAGGAGGGAGAGGGGAGACTCGTCACTGTGGTAACTGCTCCTCCTGCAGCCCCATACCCACATTCTGGAGAGGCCCTCAGAGTATGCGTGCCCTCTGACACCAGGAAGCCCACTCACAGGCGTGTAGCCCAGGCAGACGGACGGACAGAAGTGCTCACATACGGATGGGTATTTATATCCTTACTGACGGCAGTGAAACAAAATGGACCGAGAGACTAGTAACACTCATAACGTTTACGTAAACTAGGCTGTCTGCACAGATGCACCAGGCGGCCAGGAAGCGCACTGCGTGGGACCGGAAGGCGGGGGGCCTGGCGCCCTATCGGCAGGAAGACCAGATCAGGCCACAGGACTGCGTACGAGATGATCACAGTTGTCAGGAAGCTGTCCACGCACACACTGTCCCGGAGAAGGGTGTCCTACGGGGTCGGCTCCTGGTGCTGGGCCCTGGCCCGCCCTCTCCTAGCAGCGTGACCCGGGCCACCTTCCTCGCGCCCTTCAAGGTCTCCACCTGGCATAGTGCCCACTTCGTAGCTTTGAGGTGGCTTAAAGAAGCGGCGGGAGGGAGGCAGGTCTGTAAAGGGTTAGTGCGGTGCCAGGTACAGAGTGACTGCACAGGGAGCAGTGACCATTAAGGCCACGGAAAAGCGTTCTAGAAGGATGCACCTCAGAAGGTGAACAGGCATGGAGGATTTGTGCCACTTGTGTTTTCTAAAATTCTTACAATGAACTTTACTTTTGCAATTAAGTGAGGTGGTTTACATTTCCAAATGCTGTTTCAGCAACAGGGAACTTTAGAAACCCCGCCTGAGAAAAGGGATAAGGCGGTGAAACAGGAGACAAGAGCGGGCGTTTCGATGGAACCCCTGGGGGGCCCTGGGGGCCCTAACCAGGCAGGGCAGGCTGGCACCAGAGCCAGCGGGACCCCACGGCCACGGGGACCCGGGCCCACGCCACGCGGGCGAGGGGGTGTGGCCCCGCCGCACGACGGCCCCGGGAGAAACCGGACGGGCTCTGCAGTGGACACGACGTGCCCAGGCCTCCGCAGGCAGCCGCCTTCCGCAGCCTGGCCCGGGAGTCCGCACGGGCGCACGTTACCTGCTCCTCAGGACACGGAGCTGCCCAGGACCGGCATCTGCCCGTCACGTCGCCGACGGTCGTCTGTTTGCCATTGTACACGTACACCCGGCCGTCTTCCCCTCCCAGCAGCCCGGAGGTGACGTCTGTTATCCGCAGCGGGGCTGCCACGAGGATTTCATCTGCAGACGCCACAAGTCGGAACGGGGTCGGAGCCCAGCCTCCCACCAGGCCCATAAGTGCACCCCCTAAATCGTCTCCCCCTTTTCCTCCCAGCACAGCGAAGGCTCCGGTTCCCCATTTAGCATTCGTCAGCAGCAAGTGCGTGTGGCCCTCGGGCTAACACCTTCCAGAAGTAGAGCATTCCCTTGCTCTGGTCTCACCGGGCTCTCAAATCTCTCTAGAGGCCCCGGGGCCACTGAGCTGTCAGTGAGGGCGGAGCCTAGATGACCCAATCAGGGGACCCAGTTCCTGGCCAGCGGCCCTGTTCCTACCCAAGCCATCGCCATCCAGGTCACTCAAGTGCAGAACGCCACCGAATCGGGAGAAGCGGCGGTCTCCGCTGAAGGTGCTGAGCAGAGGCGGCTGCGTGTCTGGCGTCAGTTCATACATCCGAGTGGTGCCACCCTGGTGCAAGGTCATGGTCAGGAACGCCATTTTAGACTTCTCATCTGAAACAAACCAGCGCACGGTGTCTCTGCCATCGCAGGAATGAAGAGAAGGTGTAAAGTGCCGGAGGGAGTCCTACCCTCGCTTCAGTCTTGTGCACCGCGAGTGACACGATAGCTCAGAGTCCCACAGGACGGGGTAGGCCCACTGAGGTCCCGTCCAACACGACTGACCCCTGCAGTACGTTCTCCACACACACAACCGTCTTTTTCTTGTTTTTTACATCGCAAGCTTCCTGTGAAATAAAGTCTAAATTCCTCACAAGACCTTCCACGGGCTCAGGAGGCCTCACAGAATCTGCTGCTTACAGCTCTAGCGTTTGGGGGCCACTTGCCCCTTTTTACCCACATGTCACCCATCCCAGATGTAAACCACAGCGCATTCTATTTCTGAAGTCTGGGCCTCTGAACGTGATGTGCTGTCTGCCTGGAACAGGCGCCCTTCCCCCACAGCCCTCTGCTGGCAGCCTCCTGCACTTCCGGAACGAGGCCCTGGCGTCGCCTCTGCTGGACAGCCTTCCCTTCCCTCCCGCGTGCTGCCACACCACAGTGTGGCCCTCACCGAGGAGCCTCGCTCCTGTTCACCCGGGCGTCTCCTGCACCTGGCTCTCGGTCCCACAAGCAATGGGACCGTGACTTAGTCACACGATGTGCTTAGAAACATGTGCTTGGTCAATACAAGTATGGGATGAGTGGTTTTTAAATGACTGAATACTGAACAGTTTTTATTTTTTATTTATTTTTTTTTAAATGTTTTTATTTATTTCTAGGAGAGAGAGAGAGACAGCGTGAGCAGGGGAGGGTCAGAGAGAGAGGGAGTCACAGACTGAAACAGGCTCCAGGCTCTGAGCTGGCAGCACAGAGCCCGACGCGGGGCTCGAACCCACGAACCGCGAGATCATGACCTAAGCGAAAGTCGGACGCTCAACCGACTAAGCCACCCAGGCGCCCCTGAACAGTTTTTAAACAGAGCTAGAGTTTTGCCTATACAGCTCATCTGGAACACAACTTTGATTTCAGAAATAAGTACCTTCTCAAAAAAAAAGTAGTGTCAGAGTCTACTCAGTATTGTGTGTAGAACCGACTACAGTAAAACCTTGGATTGCGAGTAACTCGTTCTGTGAGTATTCCGCAAGACGAGCAAACATTTCTAATAAATTTTAACTTGATAAATGAGCGATGTCTTAGAATACAAGTTGTACATGATGCCGAACGTCACATGATCACAACAGAGCCAATGGTTCTTAAAATTTGCTTTGATATACATGTGCTTTGGATTACAAGCGTGTTTCCAGAATTCATTATGCTCTCAAACCAAGGTTTTACTGTGTTTTTGTGGACAACCTTCCCTCGTGCCCTTGATCATAGCCAACTGACAACTAGAAACAACTGAAAGCTCAAAGCGGAGCCAGGAATAGCGGTGCGAAAGAAGAGCGAGGAAAAAAGGGACACAGCCAGCACTTTGAAAGGCTCAGCAATCTGGGCTCTTGAACAACATCGCACTGTTTCTGCTTCTGTGGGACGCACGCCTGAGTGCACATCTCTGCCACTTGCACTGGGCCTCGACACACACGCATCTGCCCTGCAGACCCCAACTCTCAGAGAAGTCACCCCAACATCCCATGTGGGCAAAGATCAGAAGAGCCTGAATGTGGGTGCCTAGCCAGACTGCATTCTCCAACCCAGTTTTTAGAAGACACATGTTTTGATAGAGCTGATCCAGGAGTCTACTTCTCAAATGGCTCCAAGTGCGGGGGCGGGGGGCAGGAAGCAGTGATTAGCACTTCCAAAACTCTTACTTCATAGGCGGGGTGCCTGGGTGGCTCAGTCAGTTAAGCAAAACACTTTATATCATAGTCTATTAGAACTCCTAACAATTTCATCACAATGTTGCTTTCAATTCTCAGAATTTAAAAAGGATGGACTGAAAAATCAGCAAGCCACGAAGGCATGGAAGAACCCTAATGCATAATACGTATAATGTGTAAAGAAGCCAATCCGAAAAGGCTGCGTACTAGGATTCCAACTATATGTCATTCCAGAGAAGGCAAACCGTGGAGAGGCAGAAAGATCACTGGTTGCCGGGGGCTAGGAGAGAGGGAGGGAGGAAGAGGTGAGCACGAAGGTGTTTAGGGCAGCGAAACTATAATGGTGGACACAGGTCCTACGTCTGTCCAAACCCATGGAATATTCAGCACGAAAAGTGAATCTTAATGTAAACCACAGCCTGGGTTATAATGGCGTGTCCGTGTAGGCCCATCAGGTATAACAGATGCACAGTCTGGTGCAGAAGACATCAGGGCCGGCAGTTGATGGGTGGGGGCAGGAGGGGGTATGGGAAATCTCTGTACTTTCCACTCGATTTTGTGGTAAACTTAAAACTGCTCTTAAAAAGTCTATAGAGGATTCAGATACTTTAAATTTTTGGCCGTTCCAAATACCTCATTTCTGACAGATGGTAACTAGAACTTCTAAGGATCATTTCATACTGTGTGTGTTATAGATACCTGAAACATTTTTCAATAAATTTTTAAATACCTCATTTTCTGGTTGATGCAAATTAAACAGTGGCTTACAATACACAGTTTAGGCAAGAGAAAAAGGTTATGTTTTAGTATTTCTGTATCTGTTATTGGAATAACAAAAGTAACCCAGCAGACCCTTGGTTTTTAAAAAGGATAGATCAGGGTCAGGGGTGAGAGTTTCTTTAAACACCCAAGTGTTTTAATTACTTCTCAAGAGTAAGTTCTCTTACTGGGACAGCAGAAAACACAGCTGTCGTAACACACAGGTGCGTCCAGCAGCTGGCCCCCCCTCATGAGTCACAGGGAAGGGGACACCGCCTTGCAGTGTGGCTCGCACGTGCAACTCATAAACTATGAATCCTGTTGCTTCACACCGATGACTGTCGGGATTACCATGAAATAGTCAAAACGAGGAGGGCCAAACTTGTGAATGCCAAGATTTTTTACATAGCATTCACTATGGAAGGTGGGGAAAACACCCCCAAAAAAGTATAGAGAAGTTGTATAACATATATATTTCTGGAGATTGATACCTATACACATTTTAAACAAAATGGAGATTGGTACAGATTTTAAAAGTTTAAACCCATTTAAGCCATTTCTAACTTTTTGCTATTATAATTAACACTGTGATAAAGATCTTTCCCTGCAGTTCTGCATACTTTCCGAGAGCAGATTCTTACAGATGGTCCATACAGCATCCAAGGGAATGAGTATCTTTAAGGCTCTTGCCATTTGGCCCGACCTTTCTAGAAGGGCTGTATCAGTCACATCTCCGCAGCACTGTGTGAGTGCCCGCCTCCTCTCAACCCCGCCATCCTTGAATATCATCATTTTCAGTACTGAAAACATCTCATTAACACCCTAAAATCACCACCAAATATCTAAGTTGTTCAGTGTGGCCACATTCTGAACCAGAGACAGAGACAGAGCCCAGGGTGAAAGGGACGGGCCTGACAGGGTCAAGCTCCAGACCACCGGCATCTGCCGAGTGCGTCCAGTTGTTCCAAGTTAGGTGACTCTGGACCACAGAGCCGTGATTCCTAAACCACCCCGAAGCCCTCCCGTGAACCCGTGGCAGATGCCCCGACCCTTCGAAGGTAACACGGTGACGCCCTCCGCCATCCACATGAACTCCCTATAGGAGGCAGTTTGTGGCTTTAACACAGGTCCCTACAGTCATATGTGCCACACTGGGATTTTAGGGCCTGTAATAAAGTACAGGTACCACGAGAAAATCTGTGGGGATTAAAAATGAGGGTGGTCATGTCTAGTCTGACTGCAGGTTTGAGAAGCTGTACGGTACCCAAAAGGGGCCAAGTTCTCAGGACATAAATACAGCGTGTGCCACAGAGGCAGCCACACGGGGCGCCGAGCTTGGCTTAATGCCCTCCAGTCCCCGGCCTGAAATTCTGCATAATTTGTAACAAAGTGCTCTACATGTTCATCTTGTTCCAGGACTTACAGACCATGTGGATAAAATACAGGCAAAATAGAAGTAAAAAATAGGTAGTTCTGGGACCCCTGGACAGCTCAGTTGGTTAAGCGGCCAACTCTTAATTTCGGGTCAGGCCATTATCTCATGTTTCAAGGGTTCACGCCCTGGGCTGAGCTCTGCACTGACAGTGTGGAGCCTGCTTGGGATTCTCTCTCTCCTCTCTCTTTCTCTGCCATCCCCTCCCCCCCCCCACTCACATGTGCTTTCTCTCAAAATAAGTAATAAAACCTTTTAAAAATAGGAAAATCTGAACAAGATTCAACTGATGGATTACATCCATGTCAGTCACCTGGTTGTGACACTGGTAAGGTGTGCAAGTATTACCTTGGTGAAAACTGGATAAAATTGATCTCCCTGAGGTATCTCTTCTAACTGCATGTGGACGTATAACGGTCTCGAAAAGGTTAATTTGTACATAATACGTATGTGGACATAGAAGTTAACCTTTTTATAGTTTATGTAGTATTTTGTAATAGGAAATTACTAAAACACTTAGGAACATTAAAACAAAGTTTAGAAAGCTGTAATCACAGCATTCCAGTAGAAAGAGAAGTGAGGCAAATACAGTCGCTAATGTGGGTTGCAGGAGTTTGGAAATCACTACCTAGACTCTGTCAGAAGGGGTGGGGAACGGGGAAGAACAACGTTTCCAAAGCCAGGTCAGCAAGTTCCTGGTGTTACAATGCTGTGCCCTCAATCACGCAACCAAAGATCGAACCACTCTTTTGCCCAGTCCACTCTGCCTATTATTCTAATATTGTAGGAAACAAAAATCTCCCTGAAAAATAATTTGACAGTAATAAGACCTTCTAGTCCAGAAACCCCACCTCCAGGAGCCTATTTTAAAACTATTCAGAAAGGCTGTCTTCTGCACGTGCGTGTTCAATAAGACCCTACCCTATTCACAATAGTGGAAAATTGGAAACATCCTGACTTCCCAGCAGTAGGGATGAGGTGAGTAACTGTTGCACGTGCACATGGAAAAAACACAATAGGTCTCGAAAACCACATTTTAGAAGAATCTTAGTAACACGAGAACACGCATAGGAGAAAGAGTAAAAACTCAGGTGTGAAAATGTGTATATATTAGACACACACACACACATATAGCATGAGCTTAAGTTTTTAAGTATCTGGATAGGGGTGATTTGGGGTTATCCAGATATTTTTAGGTATCTGGATAGGATTGTATTTTCACAAGTTTCTACGATAAATACGACTCACTTTGATAATCTTGAAGAGAGCAGGTTTTCGTTGACGTTTTAAAACTCTTCCCCCGTAAAGTAAATAAAATAATGGTTTACGAACAAACGTCCTCAGAGCAGACCTCGTCCTGGTGAAGGGGTTTATAGACTTTTCCGAACTCCCCTCGCGTCCAAGCTCAGTGGGACAGCAGCTTTAGAAACACACTAGGTCACTTTCACAGGAGATTTTCAACGAACCTTTGAGGTGAACATTATAATTTGTATTTTGCAGATGATGCCAATGTTCAGGGAGGTTAAGTAACTCCCCCGGGGTTACATAGCTTACTATTAATGAGGAAAGGAAAGCCTCAGAATCAGGTCTGCCTGGCTCCAGATTTCACAACTCTCCCCCAGCAGGACACGGTCAGGGAGCCACAGGAGAAACAAGCAGCCAGGCGTCGGGGCGCGTTACCTACCGTGCGTCGGGGCGCCTACCAGCAGCACCTGCGTCCGGGTGCCGTTCACCATCACGTGACCACTTGACAAGGAAGTACCCAGCTTCCCCATTGCCTGTGAAATGCAGGCAGTCACTGTCACACAGGTCAGAAAACCCTCCGTGGCGCCCCCCCCCCCATCCTGGGGAGGGAGCGGCCGGCGTACCTTGTCTCCAGAAATGGTCAACTGGCTTCTGCAATTTGGCGGGAAATAGCCATACACGCGTCCCAGGCTCTGCTTCTCATCCTGAGTGCGGTACAAGTGGCCCAGACTGGAACGAGGCGGACTGGGGTTAGCTGCCGGGGCCCAGGATTAACAACTGGCCAAGTGTTCCGGTCCAGGTCCGAGCAGAGAGAAGCCCCCTCTTCCTCACCCCGTCCCCCTCCCCGGGATCCTCCTGCATGGGAGCAGGGGTGGCTTTCAGAGGGGGTCCCAGCGTCAGGACTCCGGATGCGAGGCTCACCATTTGGCCTCCCGGCTGGCCGCGGGTATAGGGGGGTCTACGGTCACGGCTGAATGTGTTCCCCCAAATTTCACATGTTGCAGTCCTGACCCCAGCACCTCTGATGACATATATTTGGGAGAGGGTCTTTAAAGAGGTAGTTGTGTTACAATGAGGTCACGGGGGGGCCCAATCCAATCTGACTGGTGTCCTTGTAAGAACAGAAGGACACCAGACGCGTGCACAGAGAAGATGCCGTATGAGGACGGAGGGGTGGCCTTCTGCAAGCCAAGGAGAGCCCTCAACCCTGCCACTACCTTGACCTTGGATTTCCAGGCTCCGGAACGGTGAGAAAATCCCTTCCCGTGCCTTAAGCTAGCTAGCTAGTCTGTGGCACGTTGTCCTGACAGCCTGGCAAACGGATACACCGCGTTCTCTCTCTCTCTCTCTCGTTCTTAAACTCCTAAGGAGGAGAATCCGCAACCTCGCCCCAGAGCCTTCGCTCCTCCTCGCAGGTAAGAACCCAGCCTGTCTGAGCCGCACCCCTGCACAGGCCCCCAGGCCCCAGAGCCCGCGCTCACCCACTGCTGTTCTTCCAGGTGGGGCTGCCGACCAGCAGCAGGGCCCTGTGGCCGGCGCGCAGCCCGTGCAGGGAGTAGCCGAGCCAGGAGAAGTCCTCCTCGCCCCTCACCGTCCAGTCGGCCGCCTCCACGTCCAGCGTTCCTACACGAGACCACAGCGCCTTTCACCTCACGGGGGGGGGGGGGGCGCCGAGTTGTTGCCGGAGCTCCTAGGCACCCCCAAGCTGTCCGCAGGACGCCCCCTTCACCCGAGGAGGAGATTTCCAGAGCGCGCTTCTGTGGCATGCAGGAACCACGTGGACCGTCGGGGGGCGCCGTGGGCTGCCCTCGCCGACACGGATCCTGCAAACCCGCTGGCCCCTGGATCTGGACCTGGAAGGGGTCCCCGTTTGTACATCCTGTGACCCTGTCCACACCACCAGCCAGAAGGTTCCGGCGAAATGGCCGTGCAATGAGGACGAAAGAACACGAGCCCGCGTGCACAATGACGGACTGGAGCAGGGAGGCCCCCGCCCGGCCCCCACCCCTCCCCCGCCCGTCCCCTACCCGGCCCCCGCCCCCAACAGGCCTTACCTGTGTGGCTCCTGTCGGGGTGGGAGTGAAACGCGGCGACCAAGCCCTTCTGCTGCCCTCCCGCGGGGGCGAAGGGGGAGCCCGTCACCAGATCGGGCGCGCCGTCTCCATCCATGTCGGCGGCCAGGAGCGTCCAGCCCAGGTTACAGTAGGTGTCCTGGGGGGGAGGCCGGGGAGCCGCGGGTCACCCAGGGGCCGCGGCGGGGTCCGGCTCGCTGCCCCCGGGAAGGCGGCGGACGTACCTGGCAGGAGATGGTGACGTTGGGGCGAGAAGACATCCTGCCTCGGTTGGAACCAAAGTAGACGTACACGGCACCCTGCGCGGAGGCAAGCGCAGGGCGGTGGGGGCTGGGCGGCGAGCCCAGAACCCCAGAGAGGAGAGGAGAGACGGGAAGGTGCCCCGCTGTCAGGGACGGAAACCCGCCCGCGCATTTGCTGCTGGGCTGAGGCGGTTGTGAGGTCACGTCCATCAGACGGTTGGAGGTCACGTCCATCAGACGGTTGGAGCCCCCGAGGCGGACACAGCCGCCCAACCGCGCCTGCCGTCTGCGCCCGTCCGCGCCCTTGCAGGACTCACGCCCCCCGCCCCCAAGTTCAAGGTCGGCTCGGTTTGCGGCTCCTCTGCGGGGCCTCCCCGGACCCGCCCAGTCTAGTCCTCTGCACACGACCCGCGTGCGGGTGACACGCGTGTGCCTGGAGACGCACACGCCGCGCCGTTACTCTGCGACGTGAACCACTTCCTGTCCTCTAACTTGCCCCGCCCTCCATCCTCACTCATTCTAGAAGCATTCAGTCTCCACCATGGGCCAAGCACGGAGGAACGATGAATAACAACAGTCTGCCCTCCGGAAAAGCTGGCGGGCGGCGTGGAGGTAGCGATAGGCGCGCAGGGCCCCGCGTGGGAGGACACCCCCGTGCGCTCAGGCCGCCTCGAAAGGAAAAGGGGAGAAAGGGCTCTACGGGGGGGTGGGGGGCTGCCTGAGCAGAGTCCTCGAGTGCAGGGGCGAGTGACGCGGCCTGCAGGCGCAGGAGTGGAGAGGGAGGAGTGGGGTGCGGGGGTGACGGCCCAGAAGCTGGCGCCCGCCAGTGCGGGGTACGTGCAGGTGAGAGCCCGTGCTCAGGCCCGCGCCCTGGCTCTGGGCAAGGACCGGGGTCGGAGCGGGAGGATTCCGGGGGGGCGGGGGGGGGTGTCACCACTCTGCTGTGACGACAGCGGCTCCGGATCGGCTGGAATCTCCGCCCCCCTCTCCCCCACTGCCACTCAGCATCTGGGGGGCGGGGGTCAGGGGAGTGATTTCTGGTGGAACGGAGGCCAGACTAAGGCCAGTGAGGCAGAGGCAGGACCAGGTGGCCCCTGGTAACCCGTGATCACGAGGACCCGGCCGGGGGACCCGAAACCGGCCCCGTCTGCTTCCCGCAGAGGCCCGACCCAGCCGGCCGCCACCCCCAGCGTCAGCCTTACTCTGTAGGTGCGCCGCTCCGAGCCCACGGATGGGGCCCCCACGGCCAGGTCGGGCACCCCGTCCTTGTTGAAGTCCAGCACCGCCAAGGCCGAGCCGAACCGACCTGAGGGCTGAAGAGACACCAGTGGCCGTGGTCCCCGGGCCGAGCCACCACCTTCAGCAGCACACCGGACCCCCGGGGGACCCCTGCCCTAGAGCCCAAGGACCCAGGAGCCAAACGGCGACAACCTGTGCTGCTCCCGAGAGTCCCCAGCCGGGCGGCTCTGCCCCGAGGCTATTCCTGGCACGTCTGTCTGCTTCGAGGGGACGCTGAGGTGCCAGAAAGAAGACGGTCCGTCCCCACCAGTTCCAGAGTTAGAAAACGGTCAAGTGGACACGCTGCCCCCACGGTAAGGCCCATTCCCCTCGGGAGGTATCCAAAATAACCGCCACATATGCCAGCGACACCAGCTAACGGTGACGAGCACTCAGGCTGTCTAGAGCCACACGACGGCCACAGCCCGCGAGCTAAGGTGGCTCTTCAAGTGGGTCACATCCCACACATTAGGAATTCAGCTCCTCAGACGCACCAGCCGCCTGGCAGGTTCTCAAGAGCCGACGCACGTAGGGGCCCTCCGACTGGGCCACACGGCCACAGGACGTTTGCTCCGCTGCAGAAAGCTCCGGACACCGCGGAGGGCCCCGTTCCGAGCACCCTTCGTGGACTAGGGCAGGCGCGTTACTTATGCCCACGTTCACGGTTTACAGGCGGAAACCCCGGCCGGTCCAGGGAGACTCTTCCCCAAGGTGGACCTTCCGCGTGTCTCGTCCCCCGCTCTCTAGACCAGCCTCCCCCCACAAGCAACCCCCTCGGCTCTCCCGCTCTTACACAACTTCTAGAACAACGAGCAGTCTTGCACCGTGCCTGCCGGCCACCTACGCACGGCCCAGAACCCGCGTCAGTGACGGTCGGCTCGGGGCCTGCACCCGCCGCTTCCCGCGGGCGGGGGCCCGACAAACCGGGGGGCCTCACCCCGCGTCCTGCAGGCCAGCGCTCACGGCCGACCCAGGCCGGGGGGTGGGGGCTCCCGTCCCAAGCCTGCCTTCCTCCGCCGTCCCCCCCCACCCCGGGGTCGCGGGGCGGCGAGCGCGCAGAGGCCGCGTGTCGCAGGAGCCCGCAGGCTCAGGCGCTGCCGACAGGCCCACGCGGGACGGGCTCCGCGGGGACGGCCGGGGCAAACTGCAGCGGGCACGCGCATTTCTCGCGTGGTGTCAGAAGGTTCCGGATAATGCTGTCCCTCTGGGACCGCGTGACCTCACACCCTGGCCAGCCGACTTCGGACGAAGGCTCGGATGCAGGGCCCCTTCTGCCAGGTCAGGGCATAATGGTCTTCACAGCATGAACGCAACAGCTGGGGTTTTCAGGCTCCCTGGGACGAGACGGCATCGGACCCAAAGTCCAGGGCGCCCCCCACCCCCCGCGCTTGCAGTCCTGGCCCAGCTCCCACACTAGTCTGTGCCCAGCGGCCTGGCGCGTACAGCTCTTGTGAGAGCTAATGCCGGTCACGTCCCGGGGAAGCTTCCAGGCTCCCGGTGCTCCCAGCTGGGATCAACGCGGACTCTGTGCAGAACATCTGTCCAGTCCCCGTGGGGGTTTTCTGGTGACGAATAACTGCTGAAAACCAAGGAATGAGGGGCGCCTGGGTGGCTCAGTCTGTTGGGCGTTCTGACTTCGGCTCAGGTCTGATCTTGCAGTTCATGGGTTCGAGCCCCGCGTCGGGCTCTGTGCTGACAGCTCGGAGCCTGGAGCTGCTTCGGATTCTGTGTCTCCCTCTCTGCCCCTCTCCCACTCACGCTCTCTCCCCATCTCTCAAAAATAAACGTTAAAAAAAAAAACACCAATAAGGGATGAAATCCGAACAAAGTCTGGAGTTTAGGGAAGAGTCCTGCACCAGTGCTGGGTTCACACAAGACCCTAATTTAGGGGGAAGATGGGGAAAGGGTACACGGAAACTCTGTACTGTCCTTACAGCCTGTGAATCTGAAATTCTAACAAACATTTGTATTAAAAGAAGAACGTTTACAAAAAGTGGGGGTGTAACGCCAAGAAATCACATCCCGATTGGCTACTCAGAGCAGTTTCTAAATAAGTAGGTGTGTTTTCGGAAGGTATTCGACTAAACACATCCAGTTAAGGATAGAAAGACATCAATGAAGTGGACCGGCTTTGAAAAATGGAAAAGAGGGCGGCGCCTGGGTGGCTCAGTCCGACTTCAGCTCAGCTCTATGTCACGGTCTGCGGGTTCGAGCCCCGTGTCGGGCTCTGTGCTGACAGCTCAGAGCCTGGAGCTGCTTCAGAGTCTGTGCCTCCCTCTCTCTCTGCCCCTCCCCTGCTCACCCTCCGTCTCTCGCTCTCAAAAATAAGAGCAAACGCTTTTAAAAAATAAAAGAAAAAAAAGAAAGATGGAAAAGTGCTTCCCGCGCACTGGCCACCAGCTGAGTGTTACTATCGTCACTCTTGCGAGCAGCTGTTCACTCGGGGACTCAGCCAAGAAAGGCAGTGGCTTAGGGACCCCAAGAGGAAAAAGCCGAGATGGGCGCCTCACCTCAAAGCCCTCCAGGACCACGTGGGCCTCCTTGTCCAGGTCCAGGTCGACGGGGGGCAGGCCCAGGTCGTTGCCGTAGAGGAGGTACACGCGCCCCACCTGGATGTGGCCGGGGCGGCTGTAGCCGGGGGCGCCCACCACCAGGTCACCGTGCCCGTCCTGATTGAGGTCAGCCGAGGCCATCGCCCTGCAGGGAAGAAGAGAGGGCCCCCCACGGTATCCGCTGAGAGCCGTGGGGAAGACGGTCTCCCGCGTCCTTCCTCCCTAGAATCCAGCACGTGAACTTCCCCTTGTTGACTTCTTCCCCCTGCGCTTCTGTGGAGAGTATTCGCTTCTGAGTGTATGTTGTTTGGGTGATTGGGTCTTGCTCTCTGAGAAACACAACAACAACAACAACACTGAACCTGCCAAGGCCTCTGGGCATTTCTGGCCCTCGTGACACAAGCGGGTGAAGAGCATCTTCACGAAGCATCAGGTCCTCAATGCAAAACCCAGAGGAGCTGTGCACAGGCTGGGCTGGCCTGACAACAGAGAGGAGCTCTGGCCCCAGCCAGGGCCGCAGGCTGCTTTCTGACCGATCAGGAGACGAACGGACACCGACGGAGCCTGGGATAAACGTGTGTTAGGCACGCGTGCCGTTTCTGCCACAGCTGCACGGGGTTCCGTGTGTGTAAAGTGTATTAACTTTTCAACATAGTTAGTGGGTGGTTTTTTTTTTTAAGTTTCTTCATTTATTTTTAAGAGAGCGCGAGAGAGCATGAGCAAGGGGAGGGGCAGAGAGAGAGAGAACACGGCTTGAACTCACGGACCCGTGAGATCGTGACCTGAGCTGAAATCAAGAGCCGGACGCTTAGCAGACTGAGGCCCAGGCGCCCCTGTGGGTGTTTCTAACTGAGACTCTATGACGGAGCAGTTACAGACTGAGGTGGACAAAGCGAGCGGAGCTTCAGAGGTCTTTGCCGGGGCAGCTGGAAAGACCAGAAATCATTTGTTTATTCTCGTTCCTGTGGCCACCTAAGGAACAAATGGCAGAACAGAGGAAGAAAAGTAGTCTCCGAAGGGCCGACACCTGGTGAAAGGGGCCACACACGCAGCAGGGAGACGCTGCTGCTCCCTGTGCCGTTCCTGAGGCTGGGCGCGGGGACAGACCTCTGTCCCCACTGCTGCCCCCCTCCCCCACCACCCTGTCCCCACACACACCCCATGTGACAGCAAGGCCAGCAGGAGGCCTTCTCTGGCCCTGGGGAAGGCGGCCAAGGAGAGCCTTTGTGCAGAGCTGAATGGCCAGCAAACACAGCGGGCGCCTCCCAGGGTCCGTGCTGGGGCTGGACGCGTCGGTGGCCCGGAAAAGAAGGGCTGTCCGTAAACTGTTCCGAGGGAAACAATGTCATTTGGATTTAAGAAGTGTGGTTTCAAAAAGAGGTTTCCCTGACAGCTCCAGAGAACAGCCACTTCTGTATCCTTGCGCTCGGTTTCAGTTGATTATTAAAATCAGAGGAATCGCCGACACTGCATTTACACCATTTCTGTGGTGTCCTAGGCTCTCGTCCCATGAAGTTAGGATATTCCCGTTACTGGATTAGCCATCTGTTCATGAGCTTCTAATGTCGTTAGAGTCCCTCACGTCTGTGACATCAGGTCTTTAAGAACATTGAAGCTTTGCAAATATCCTGTAACACTTTACTGTTGTAATATTTCAGTCACATGAAAGCTCCTTGTATTTAAACTCATTTTCACCAACTTTAAGGAGACAGTGGTTATTGGGGTTTTTAAAATTTTTTCAATGTCTATCATTTTGAGAGAGAGCCAGAGTGAGAGCAGGGGAGGGGCAGAGAGAGAGACACACACACAGAATCCAAAGCAGGCTCCAGGCTCTGAGCTGTCAGCACAGAGCCCAACGCCGGGCTTGAACCCACGAACCATGAGATCATACCTGAGCCAGAGTTGGATGCTTAGCTGCCTGAGCCCCCAGGCGCCCCAAGTGGTTATTATAAAGATGAAACTAAATTAATGCTTCTATTGATGACGAATTGACTAGAATATAAGGGGCTAACAGGTACCATCTGAAATCTGTTGAAGGACTGAAATCCATGCTGACGACAGCGCTCAGGAATAGAAGAAACATCTACCTACCAGCCGAGTCTTGCGTAGGGAACAGACAGGAAGTAAGACGCCAGGGGGCTGGAGACGTGCTTCAGCGACTGCTGAGAGTTGCCCGTGAACATGGTCCGTATGTTCCTCTCCAGCGCCTGGTACATAAAAGTAAGGGAGTCCTGGAAGACCAAAGGATTAGGGGCAGTTAAAGACACGTGGTCCACAAAACCATTATTTCTGGTCGAAAGTATCAGACTGTCTAAAGGGAGCCAGGTTTGCCAAGTGCTGAAAGAAATAAGGCACTGATTCCATCACTAGCTAAGACCACGTGGGACGGGCAGTCGGGGCAGGCCCATCACTACCCCCAGCGCGCACGGTTCCAGCCCCAGGGCTCCCGCCAGCGGGCAAGGAGGGAGCTGCGCGCCCCCTGAACCGGTCAGCGTGGCCTGTGCGTTGTGCTGGCCCGAAGAACGGAACGAGGTGAAGTTAATGGATTAAAAGAGCTTAAAGTTCATTCAGTGTAGAACTGATTATGTGTGCGCACGTGTGTCTGTGCACGTGTGTCTGTGCACTTTGTGCATGTGCGTGCCTATGTGTGTGCATGGGCATGTCTGCGTGTGTGTCTGTGTGTGTGTGTGCATATTTTTCCCCCAAAAGAACCGGAACACCACCAAGAGCCAAAACTACCCTCCAAGCCACAGCTGGTGGCGGCGCGTCAGGCCCGAGAGGTCAGCTGCAGAGCACGCCCCCGGCACGGGACCCTAACTTGTCCTTACCGTGCTCACACGGACTGGAGCGGCCCCGAGTAACCCAGCTGCCTACTAGATCCTTCCAAGTCCAGCGGATACAACTCTAAATCCACCCATGGGCATCATGAGACTGCACAAGAATTCCGAGGCCTGCCCTGGGGCGGAGTGGCATCGGCCAGAGCCGGGGAAGGGGGGCGGGGGCAGGGAGGGGGACAGCCCAGGTCCCAGAGGGGAGCCCGCAGAGGGCCCTGTAGCAAAGGGCCGTGCCTCCCAGTTTCCCCTCCAGCCCTCTGGCAGGCTGCACATGCACGGCTGTCCTAACGCCCAGCTCTGCCTTGCTCATCCAGCCTGGAAGCATTTAATTGGCGCCTACTGTATGCCAGGCACTATGACAGGCCTCAGGAACATAAAGTCTCTCTTATAGGACTTGCCTTTTCGTGAAGGAGACATATCCAGAAAACTGGGACAAGGTGGAGAGTGTGAGGACAGAGGGCCCCAGGTCAGGACCGGCTGCGTGATGCGGGGAGCCCAGTGCAAACTGAAAGCGTGGAGCCCCTAGTTCAACAGCTAGTAGGAATTTTAACCCAGGTTAAAATCCTAACCCAGGGAAGGGGCCCTTCTCAGGACGGCCACAGCTCCCCCTGCCTCCGCCCCCCACCCCCGTATGGGTACTGGCTGCACAACCACAGAGCAGACCCGCCCAGGTCCCTGCCCAACTGCCAGAGGCGCCATTTAGACCATGTCACGTGACCCCTTCTCCCAATGTGAAGATCTCTCTCACAGTCCAGCGCCTTCCCAAACCTCTCCGAGTACCTCGTATCCCTTGTCTTGTTTTCCAGGCCGACAAGTCTACTCATACTTCCAAATATCTCCCAAACTTTCCCAACCCACTGTCAGAGATATGTGCTCACGGATGAAACACTATCTCCTATTCAAGGCCTAAGTCAAATGCCACCTCTGCCATGCAGCCTTCTCTGATTGACAGCAAAGATGGAAGTTTTGCCTCACAGGCAGAGCATTCCCCACCCGTGTGTTGTTTGTTGCATACCACTTATGTGTGGTCATCTGTGTACTTATCACACCAAGCAGACAGCTATTCTCAAGGTCACAGTCTACTTCCCTTTCATCTTACACGCCCAGTTGAGTGTCTGATGCTTAACGTTTTTTATTATTATTAATTTTTGAGAGACAGAGAAAGACTGAACATGAGCAGGGGAGGGTCAGAGAGGGAGGGAGGGAGGGAGACAGAGAATGTGAAGCAGGCTCCAGGCTCCGAGCTGTCAGCACAGAGCCCGATGCACAGCTTGAACCAATGGACTGCAAGATCATGACCTGAGCCAAAGTTGGAAGATTAACCAACTGAGCCACCCAGGTGCCCCAAGTGTCTGACACTTAAAAGATGATCACACAGGTGGATTTCATATGCAGCGTCCATCAGGGCCACCTCGGGCTCCATGGGACTTGCCAAAGGCCACGAAGGTCCAGATTCACATCTCTGGACATCTCTGGAGAAAACCAGATTTGGAGACCAAGGGTATTTGCTGGCCTGCATGCACTCAGGATGCTCAGGGAACAACCGAACAGCCAGTGTGTCTGCAGGTCAAGATCGCAGGGGGCAGCTTGCGCCCCTCCCCCCCCCCCCCCCCCCCCCCCCCCCCGCCGTGAAGCAGAAAACTCTTACCGATGTCCAGGAATCCACGCGGAAGAACACTCCTCTTTTGGTATAGTTTATATTTTTTTCAACCTCTTTAGTTAGGGATACAGTCAAATTCCTATGGAAATCACTTTTCTGTACTTTTGAGCTGCTGAAAGGAAGAACAACAAAATGGGACAGACTGAGAAAACAGGCTGACAAATGACGGACATGAAGTCAGGTCCATCATGCGTGAAAGACCACGATATCCTATTATCTGGAAGGTGAATGAGAAAAACCTTCACAGGACATTCCACAGAATTTTAGTGAACACATTTCCAAGGTTTAAGAGCCAGTGCTTATAAAAAAAACTACTTCGTGGAGCCTCAAGATCTTAGGGCATAAAAGATGTACATTTCTTCCAGATAACTTAAAAAAAAAAAAAAACTGGTATTTCAGTATTTCATGCAAACGGTCAAGAAATAGTCCGTAGGTGGGGCGCCTGGGGGGTTCAATTGGTTAAGCATCCGACTGTGGCTCAGGTCATGATCTCACATGGAGTTCGAGCCCTGCGTCAGGCTCTGTGCGGACAGCTCAGAGCCTGGACCTGCTTCAGATTCTGTGTCTCCCTCTCTCTCTGCCCCTCCCCTAATTCGCACTCTGTCTCTGTCTCTCAAAAATATATAAAACATTAAAAAAAAAAAACTACTTAAAAAATGGTAGGTATTTGGGACGCTGCTTTGCAGGCACACGGATTTATCTTCAAAGACATACTAGAATGAATCATACAATAAAAATACAGTTTCAAAGTCATAGACTTTAAAACACAACAAACCAGATGCCCAGAGGCGGCAGACAGAGAAGCCTGGGAACCAGGAAGGAACGCAGGGGCCCGTGTACAGCACCTGCGGGGGAAGGGACTCTGACAGTGTAGACACTACAAGCCTGAATCAGACGCATTCAATTCAGTTACGTTAAAAAAAGAAAAACAAAAAAAGACTTACTTAATTTAAATAAATTAAACCGTGAGGGCTTAACTGAACCTTTCTGCGCCTTTCCGGCTCTGAAGCTCTGTGTTCTCTCTTACCTTAGGGCCCTTCCCTGCAAGGCTGTCTGAGTATCTACCCCCGACTACCTCTTCAGGATGAAATCTGGGTGAAGCCTAGGAGGACTAGCGAGAGTAATAATACCATTAACTGCCGTTTTTATCCTTCAGTGAGCAGCTTACTGAGGTACCAACTGCTTCCCATCCATTCTTGCACGATTTCCGGGCCGTGGTTCTGGGAACCCAGACATGTGTTTTCTTCTGTTTTGCCAAAGGAGGAAGTTGTACCTCAGAAAACTGAAGCGACTTGTTTGAACATCACGCGGCCGTGAGTAGGGGGCCTGGAGCTTGAACCTGGGTATCTCCCCGTCTACAGACCCCGTGTTGGCACGTCTCCTGGGCACCCCTCCCCGCCTTCTTGGTTTCGATGTTCTTTCTCTAAGAACGACTTGGGGACCCACTTACCCCGGGGCGCCGGCTTGCGGGCCGCCACACGCGATGAACAGGGGGTTCTCGGGCAGGCTGCAGCCGCTGCGGAAACAGAGGGGCCGCCGTCTCCCCCCGCCTTCCCTCCGGCGCGGAGCCCACCGGACCCGTGCGCGCGGAGCCGCCCCGGAAGGAAGTCCCCGCCTAGAGAGCTGGGGACACACCGGAAGGCGCGGGCCCTCCTCGCTGAGGGTGCATCAGCCAACTGAGCACAGGCGGCCCCACGCGCCGCCCTCCCCCTCCCGTGCATCTGCCCCGCTCACCCCATCTCACGCCACAATCCCCCCCGCCCCCGGGTACCTGCCCCGCTCACCCCATCTCAAGCTGCCCCCCCTCCCGTGAACCTGTTCCACTGCCCCACACTGCCGTGAACCCTCTGGGAGCTGGAGATGAAAGGAAACGGATCCCCAAGAGCCGCCTCTCTGCCCCATTATGCCCACATACGCTCCAATAGTTCTTACTTTCTTCATCTCATTTCTTTAAAAACAAAGATTTGTAAACTGACACGGCCACTGAGACAATGTAAGAGGTGAACTTTCCCTCTCCCTCTGGAAGGAAGTACTAAGCGAGGAGTATTACATTACAACAGTTTGTTCTTAGGGCACCTGGCTGGGTCAGTTGGTCGGGTGTCCAACGTCACTTCAGGTCATGATTTCAGGGTTTGGGAGTCCAAGCCCCGCACTGGGCTCAGAGCCGGCTTCGGATCCTCTGTCCACCACACTGCCCCTGCCCTGCTCACGCTCGCTCAAAAATACCCCACCCTATGGGGTAAGGACTGATCACGGGACAAGCAATTCAGAAAAGGAGGTGGGAAGAGGCTGAAGGCAAGCTTCTATCTCTCAGGGCCAGCTTTCAGCTTCGGAAAAGGCTCTTCCTCAAATTCTCTGTTCTCCAACACCAGGATTCGGATGGCGGCCTCGTAGCAAGAACACTACCGTTACACATCATTTGTGAATCACGCAGAGCTCTGTCTGGAAACAGCCACCACTCTCCCACTGTCTCTTTAAGAACATACAGTGGGAGTTTAAAGCAACAAATCTGCTTTGGAAGAGAATTATAAGCAAGCTGAGAAATGCTTATAATAGGACAGTGTACACATTGTTTGTTTCACTTAGGAATTTGCATCCTCTTTCTTTGGAGACTTTCTCCAAATTTCTCATCAAGTTCCATAAATTCTGATGAATCTTCCTTTGTGTGTGTGGAGAGGCAATCAATTCATGGAATTTTCCGCCTTGATAAATTAGGACAGAGACCAAGAGACAAATGTGTGTCTTCTCAAATAGTTCTCCTAATTAAAGAGTAAGGTCTCACCATCCATAGCTACTTGGACAACCTTCCCCAAACAAACACCCAAACTGTTCTCCACTTGAGGATCATCACACACGGACTTTATAAAACAAATAAATGTTGGGGCTCCTGGCTGCCTCAGTCTGAAGAGCATGCAACTCTTGATTTCGGGGTGTGAATTCATGTCCCATGTTGGGTAGAGAGATCACTTATAAATAAAATCTTGAGGGGCGCCTCGGTGGCTCAGTCAGTTAAGTGCCCAACTTTGGCTCACGTCATGATCTAAGTGGTTCATGGGTTTGAGCCCCACATTAGGCTTGCTGCTGTCAGTGCAGAGTCTGCTTTAGATCCTCTGTCCCCCTCTCTCTGCCCCTCCCCTGCTTGCACTCTCTCAAAAATAAATAAAACTGAGCCTGGGTGGCTCAAGTGATTAAGCGTCAGACTCTTGATTTCAGCTCACGCCATGATCTCGCAGTTTGTGATTTTGAGCCCCATGTCAGACTCTGTGCTGACAGCTCAGAGCCTGGAGCCTACTTTGGATTCGGTGTCTCCCTCTCTCTCTGCCCCTCCCGCATTAGCTCTCTTTCTCTCTCAAAAATAAATATTAAAAAATGTTTTAACAACTGATTCATAGGGGTCCCAGAAGATGAAAGAGAGAAAAAGGGATAGAAGGTTTATGTGAGCAATCATAGTGGAAAACTTTCCTAACCTGGGGAAAGACACAGACATCAAAATCCAGGAAGCACAGAGAATTCCCATTAGATCCAATAAAGAGCAACCATCAACAAGGCAGATCATAGTCAAATTCACAAATACTCAGGCAAGGAAAGGATCATGAAAGCAGCAAGGGGAAAAAAAAGTCCTTAAACTACAAGGGAAGACAGATCGGGTTCACAGCAGACCTATCCACAGAAACGTGGCAGGCCGGACGGAAAGGAGGGGCAGGATATGTTCAATGTGCTGAATCGGAAAACTATGCAGCCAAGAATTCTTTATCCAGCAGGGTGTCATTCAAAATAGACGGAGAGATTAAAAGTTTCCCAGACAAACAAAAATTAAAGGAGCTCATGAACACTAAACCAGCCCTGCAAGAAATTTTGAGGAGGACTCTCTGAGGGGAGAAAAGATGAAATAAGACAAAAAGGACCAAAAGTAACAAAGACTAGAAAGGACCAGAGAACACCACCAGAAACTCCAACACTACAGGCAACACAATGGCCATAAATTCCTATCTTTCAGTACTCACGCTAAATGGCAATGGACTAAATGCTCCAATCAAAAGACATAGGATAACAGAATGGATAAGAAAACAAGATCCATCTAAATGCTGTTTACAAGAGATCCATTTTAGACCTAAAGACACCTTCAGATTGAACATAAGGGGATGGTGAACCATCTATCATGCTAATAGTCGCCAAAAGAAAGCCAGAGTAGCCATACTTAATAGCAGACCATCTAGATTAAAATAAAGACCATAACAAGAGATGAAGAAGGGCATTATGTCATAATTAAGGGATCTATCCACCAAGAATATCTAACAATTATAAACATTTATGTCCCACATGTGAAAGCACCCAAATATAGAAATCAATTAATCACAAACATAAAGTCATTGATAATAATACCGTAATAGTAGGGGACTTCAACAACCCACTTACAGCAAGGGACAGATCATCTAAACAGAAAATCAACAAGGAAACAATGGCTTTGAATGACACACTGGACCAGATGTATTTAACAGATGTATTCAGAACATTTCATCTTAAAGCAGCAGAAAATACATTCTTCTCGAATGCACATGGAACATTCTCCAATAGATCACATACTAGGACACAAATCAGCCCTCAACAAGTATAAAAAGATCAAGATCACACCGTGCATATTTTTAGACCACAACTCTATGAAACTCAGAATCAACCACAAGAAAAAATTTAGAAAGATAACATATACTTGGAGACTAAAGATCATCCTACTAAAAAATGAATGGCCTAACCAAGATGTTAAAGAGGAAATTAAAATGTACACGGAAGCCAATGAAGATGATAGCACCACAGCCCATAAGCTCTGGGATGCAGCAAAAGTGGTCACAAGAGGAAAGTATATAGCAATCCAGGCCTTCCTAAAGAAGGAAGAAAGGTCTCAGATACACAGCCTAATCTTACACCTTAAAGAGCTGGAAAAACAACAGCAAATAAAACCCCTAATCAGCAGAAGACAGGAAATGATAAAGACTAGAGAAGAAATCAATGCTATATAAACAAACAAACAAAAAAGACAAAAAAACTCCAGTAGAACATATCAATGAAACCAGAAGCTGGTTCTTTGAAAGAATTAACAGAATAAACCCCTAGCCAGTTTGATCAAAAAGAAAAAGGAAAGGACCCAAATAAAATCAAGAATGAAAGGGGAGAGATCACAACCAACGCTGCAGAAATACAAACAATAATAAGAGAATATTAGGAGCAATTGTATGCCAATAAAATGGGCAATCTTGAAGAAATGGACAAATTCCTAGAAACATATAAACTACCAAAACTGAAACGAGTAGAAATAGAAAATTTAAACAGACCCATAACCAGTAAAGAAATTGAATTACTAATCAAAGATCTCCCAACAAACAAGAGTCCAGGGCCAGATGGCTTTCCAGGGGAATTCTACCAGACATTTAAAGAAGATTGAACACCTATTCTTTTGAAGCTGTTCCAAAAAATAGAAATGGAAGGAAAATTCCAAACTCATTCTATTACCCCAGCATTACTCTGACTCCAAAATCAAGATCCGACTAAAAAGGAGAACTACAGACCAGTTTCCCTAATGAACATGAATGCAAAGCTCCTCAACAAGATACTAGCTGACCAGATCCAACAGTACATTAAAGAATTATTCACCACAACAAAGTGGGATTTATACCTGGGACGCAGGGCTTGTTCAATATCCACAAAACAACATGATACATCACATCAATAAAAGGACAAGAACCACATGATCCTCTCAACAGATGCAGAGAAAGCACTTGACAAAATACAGCATCCTTTCTTAATAAAAACCCTCAAGAAAGTAGGGATAGAAGGATCATACCTCAAGATCATAAAAGCCATATATGAAAGACACACCACTAATATCATCCTTGATGGGGAAAAACTGAGAGCTTTCCTCCTAAGGTCAGGAACACGACAGGGATGTCTACTCTCACCACTGTTATTCAACATATATTGGAAGTCCTAATGTCAGCAATCAGACAACACAAAGGAATAAAAGGCATCCAAATCAGCAAGGAGGAAGTCAAACTTTTACTCTTAGCAGACAACAGGATACTCTATGTGGAAAATCCAAAAGATTCCACCAAAAAACTACTAGAACTGATCCATGAATTCAACAAAGTCACAGGATATAAAATCAATGCGAAAATGAACTATTAGGACCTTATCAAAATAAAAACCTTCCGCACAGCAAAGGAAACAATCAGCAAAACTAAAAGGCACCCAATGGAATAGGAGAAGATATTTGCAAATGAAATATCAGATAAAGGGTTTGTATCCAAAGTCTATAAGGAACTTATCAAACTCAACACCCAAAAAGCAAATAATCTAGTGAAGAAATGGGCAAAAGACATGAATAGACACTTCTCCAAAGAAGACATCCAGATGGCAAAAAGACACATGAAGAAATGCTCAACATCACTCATCATCAGGGAAATACAAATCAAAACCAAAATGAGATACCACCTCACACCTGTCAGAATGGCTAACATTAACAACTCAGGCAATGACAGATGTTGGCAAGGATGCGGAGGAAGAGGGTCTCTTCTGCACGGCTGGTGGGAATGCAAACTGGGGCAGCCTCTCTGGAAAACAGTGTGGAGGTTCCTCAGATAATTAAAACTAGAACTATCCTACAAGCCAGCAATTGCACTACTGGGTATTTATCCAAGGGATACAGGTGTGCTGCTTTGAAGGGGCACATGTACCCCAATATTTATACCAGCACTATCAACAATAGCCAAGGTATGGAAAGAGCCCAAATGTCCATGGACGAATGAATGGATAAAGATGTGGTGTATACATAACAATGACGTATTACTCGGCAATCCGAACGATGAAATCTTGCCATTTGTAACTATGTGGATGGAACTAGAGGGTATTATGCTGAACGAAATTAAAGAAAGACAAGTATCATAGGACTTGCTCATACGTGGAATTTAAGATATAAAACAGATGAACATAAGGGAAGGGAAGCAAAAATAATATAAAAACAAGGATGGGGACAAAACAGAAGAGCCTCTTAAATACAGAGAACACACTGAGGGTTGCTGGAGGGGTTGTGAGTGGGGGCCGGGCTAGATGGGCGCGTGGCATTAAGGAGGACACCTGTTGGGATGAGCATTGGGTGTTGTACGTGGGGGATGAATCACCGGATTCTACTCCTGAAGTCATTATTGCACTATATGCTAATTAACTTGGATGTAAATTTAAAAATTTTTTTAATTAAAAAGAAATGAAATCTTTAAAACAAATAAATGCAGGTCATTCACACTCACATGACCAACATAAACTTCCTTTCAATGATAATTATAATACTAGTAGCCGACATCTATGAAGTGCTTCCTACACGCTAAACCATTTACACAAGTGATCTCAGGAAGTACTCCTAACAGCCCCACGAGAGAGAGAGAAATATTTCTGTCCCCATTTCACAGATGAGAAAACAAAGCTTAGGGAGGTTTAGCCGCTTGCTTGAGATAACCCAGCAGTGAGTGGCAGTTCTGGAAAATTCCAAAGCCTATCCTCTACCATCGTGTGCACCAAAAACTCACAGCCACAGAGGGAGAGCCTGGAGACTTCACTGGAGACTTATCTCACAATTAAAAATGGCATTTCTGTTGGATTGTTTATCTCACTGTTCCCCAGCTGCTTAAAACAGGTTTAATATTTACAGCCTAATGTCAAATTTATCACACAAGGGAATTGTGTTCCAAATCTCGATATATAATTATGCTTAATATTCCTTGAATATTTCTTTAATTTATTTTCAACGTTTCTTTATTTTTGAGGGAGAGAGAATATGAGCAGGGGAGGAGCAGAGAGAGGGGGAGACACAGAATCCCAAGCAGCTCCAGGCTCCAAGCTGTCAGCACAGAGCCCAACGTGGGGACTGAACCCACGAACCGTGAGATCAAGCCCAAGTTGAGCTGAGCCCCAGTTGGATGCTTAACCACTGAGCCCCCCAGATGCTCCAAATACTAGCAAATGTTTTCAAGGGCAAAGAATGGCATCCAGCGTATAATATCCCAGAGCTACACACATTTGGGCCTCTCTGATTTATACACCAGCCCTACAGCCCTTACTTGGGGGAGCCGCGTCTGGGACAGATCCGGCCCTAGAACGCCGCACCGCCTTGTCTGCGGGCGCCCGGGCGCTGCTTCAGCTGCAGCCCACACCCGCCCGGCTCGGCCGGGCAGCGCGGGGGCTGTGCACCCAGCCGGATCCGAGAGGAGCGTGGCTCCCGCAGGCAGCAGGGCCCCCCCCACGGGCCCAGAGGTCTACTGCGCTGGCCGCGCGCCCTGGCCGGAGGCCCCGGTTAACACTCGTCCCGGACGCGCAGGGCGCGAGCCAGACGCTGTTCCACGCGGGCCGAATGTCAGGCTCTCACAGAAGGCTGTGATTTACAAAGGCGTCCAGGCCTCGTTTGACTCTGGAGGAGGGGGTCCAGGGCATTGCCCTCTGAACCCCCTTAACCCTGAGATGGCAGCGGCAGGAGGGGGGCTCACTGCGCCCTGGCTGCCGGAGCCTGCGCACAGCTCGGGTCCTCCCTGCAGAAGGGGCGCGGCCCAGGGGTGGACCCCCTCGCTGACCCCAGCTCTGCAGGATCCACCTCTCCGTCCCTACAACCCGACACAGCAGCACGTGTAACCAGATGGGAGCGCGTCTGCGTTTTGAGGTGAGGGCGTTCCTTTCTCTCCCTCCTTGGTTACGACAGGCTAGCACTTCATGCTTGCATTTGATCAGTGGAAAACCTGAGCAACAGCGGGGAAGGGAGGGGCGGGGGGGGGGGGAGGACCTCGCACGAGCAGAGCCGGGGCTCACCTGGTCCCGTTCTCTAACATGAAGCTCGTCAGGCGGTAGATGTTCGTGGACCAGTACGCCATGTCATCCAGGCCCCCCAGGAAATATTCTTGGAATTGTTCCACCAAGAATGGGGACTTTCTGGAATAAGTGGGATACAGCTACAGCAGAGGAAAAGAAAAGTTACCAGTAAGTGCTTTTCCTGGTGTCTTCACAGTTCTTTAAATTGAGATTCTGAAGAATGAACCCCTTACCTTGGAAACAGCTAGCATCTCACCATACCTGCAACACGAACGATAATTTTGCATGTGAGCTGTGGTTTGTACAAAGAGATGAAGCAAATAATGAAGAAAAAAACCCCATCAACATGCAACTGCCTTTGAATAAGCCAAATCCCATAAATCCAAACTGCAACTCAGGAAACGGAAACATCAGATAGGAAGTCACTCTGAGATCAGCTGCAAGCTCCCCCCTGAGCAACACCTACATTTCCAAGAACTGAAGGTATGTACAGTCAACGATTGCACTTTTGGTGATGACTTCTCGCCCATAGAGCTTCTTATAAATTTCCAGTAGATCTTCCACCGGCACATACCTGAAAAAGGCATTAGAATAAAATAAGATTCTGAAGTTAAAGATAATGTGGGAGGCAAAAGTAGCTACTGGATTTTTTTGACGAATTTTTTTTTCCTGTGAGATCTTGTTTTATTTTTCTAATATAATTTATTGTCACATTGGCTTACATACAACACCCAGTGCTCATCCCCACAAGTGCCCTCCTCCATGCCCATCACCCCCATTCCCCTCTCCGCTATCCCCCATCCACCTTCAGTTTCTTCTCTGTATTTAAGAGTCTCTTATGGTTTGCCTCCCTCCCTCTCTGTTTGAAACTACTTTTCCCCCTCTTCCTCCCCCATGGGCTTCTGTTAAGTTTCTCGAGTCCACATGAGTGAAATCATATGATATCTGTCTTTCTCTGACTTATTTCACTCAGCATAATGCCCTCCAGTTCCATACACACTGCTGCAAATGGCAGGATTTCATTCTTTCCCACTGCCCAGGAGTATTCTATTGTATGGATAAACCACATCTTCTTGACCCATTCATCAGCTGATGGACATTTGGGCTCTTTCCATAATTTGGCTATTGTTGAAAGCGGAGCGGCTACTGTTTACTCCATGAGTATTTTGTGCCAGGCATTATGCAAAGGACTTTCCAGGACTATTTAAGCCTACCTACAAGCCCAGGTGTTTGGCATTCCTGCTTGACACTAGAGGAAGCTAAAGCACAGAAAAGTGAATTGATTTCCCCAAAGAGGCACAGCAAACAACTGGCCCCTTAACCCAATACTTATGGAGGTTCCTTCTAAGACAGGACACTAACTCTAACCGGTAAAAATAATGACTCTTGTGAATTCACAGTTTGAGGAGCAATATATTTTTATTCTTTTGAGCACTGAGTTATTATTGAAAGTTGTTATTTTTAAAACACCACAATTGGGGGCATCTGGGTGGCTCAGTCAGTTAAGCGTCCGACTTTGGCTCAGGTCACGAGCTCACCGTCCATGAGTTCAAGCCCCTCGTTGGGCTCTGCACTGACAGCTCAGAGCCTGAAGCCTGATTTGGATTCTGTGTGTGTGTCTCTCTCTCTGCCCCTCCCCCACTCACACTCTGTGTGTCTTTCTCTCCCAAAAATAAACAAACATTAAAAATATTTAAAAAACAAAAACACCACCAAAAATGTCTCCTCACCCCAACATCCTGGTTTTAGAGTACACAGTGTAAGATGGTAAAAAGAATTCTAAGTCAGTTTTTTGATTCACAATACTCCTTATTTCAGTCAAAAGAGTAGCGTACGTTAGGTTAATGCTGAATCATCTTCTGTTTTCACTTCTGAAGCCTTAGAATACACCAGACAGAAATCAAAACCAAATAAAATCCTATTTCAATATATTTATAAGAATCTATGGAAAAATCCATCGTTTATTTCACAAGAGCACCAGAGTGATCCTCCCAATAAAAATAGCTTTGGGCTGGATAAAATAACAAAAATATTTTTTTAGATGAATCATCAAGCTAGCAAGAAAGTAAAAATCTTCCAAAGGCCCAAAACAAATTGAAACTGGAAACTTGAAGAAGTAAGCAAGTGGGGAGGCCAGACTTTGCCCTGAGCTCTTGGAGATTTTTAGAGGCTGTGCGGGGTGCAGGAGAGGTGTGTTCAAGCACAGAAACCAGCCAAAGCAGCCCTTCTCAGAGGAGACTCGGAACTAGTGGCTAGCCTTCTGCGTGAGTATTAGCTAGAAACAAACCTAACCTGTCAAGAAGGTCAGCAAAGAAACTGACAATGGATAAAGGGGAAAAGATATAAATCTCCCCCTAAAATTGGTAACTACCGCCAGTCCCACAGAGGTTCTGTCCTACATCCATGCTATCTCTGTCGTCAGAAAAACCTCAAGGGCTGAAATAACTCAGTGTGGTCCTAGGTCCTCAGGCCTCCTGCGAGCCTGCACAAGTCAAGACAAACCCCTCCCTGGAGAAACGCAACTCGAAGCCCAGCCGTGAGTAATTCAAGCACCACGGACATACCCAGAGAGCCAGCGTAACGACAGTAATAGTTGCTAAAGTAGACTTGAAAGCAACAAGCATTCATTGGAGATGAAGAGGGTCACTACGTCATGAGGAAAATGTTCAACTCCCCAAAAAGACTAAGATTTTTAAACTTGAATGTACCTGACAGCATATCTTCAAAACGTATATATAGCAAAGTGATAGAGCTTCAAGGAAAATGGGAAGAAATCCACCATCAATCACCAGGGGAAAGGTTTTTAACAAATTTCTCTCTCAGTAATTATTAGATTGACCTAATATAAAATAAAAAGACTCTTTTATTAATAATTTTAACAATAAATTTAATAAGCTTAAGCTAATAAGCATATATATATATATATATATATGTATATAGGGCCAAAAATTGGAGAACATTCTTGGAATATTTACGAGAGTTGATCATATGTTAGACCTTAAAACAAGACTCAATGGAAGACTCTTGGCCAAGACAGCAGAGTAGGAGGGCCCTAGATTGATCTCATCCCATGGATACAACACCCACATCAATACCAATAACCCAGAAAATGACCCAAACACTGGCAGAAGAATCTTCACAACTAAATGCAGAGCAGAGGCCACATTAAAGAGGGTAGAAACATGGTGGGGGCTCAACCCCACAGGCCTGGCCACCAGAGGGAGGGAGCCATGGTCTCATGGAGGGGCAAGAAGCAAATTATCACACTGGGGAGACGACTTGGTTCCTTGAACATGAATGAACTTCTCCCCAGAGTCACCAAAAAGAGAGAGACAGAGAGAGAGATGGTAAATAAACAAAAGCCCCCCCCAAAAGAGGAAAGTAACAACTGACTCCACAGAAACACAAATAATTTTAAGAGAATATTATGAAAAAATTATGTGATGACAAGTTGGACAATCTAGAAGAAATGGATAAATTCCTAGGAACAGATAGCCTACCAAAACTGAATCAGGAAGAAGTAGAAATTTTCAACACACTGATTATCAGCAGTGAAATTGAATCAGTAATCAAGAAACCCTCAGTAAACAAAAGTCCAGAACCATATGGCTTCACAGGCAAATTCTACCAAACACACACAGAGAGTGAATACCTATTCTTCTCAAACACTTAAAAAAAATAGAAGAGGAAAGAAAACTTCCAAATCCATATTATGAGGCCAGCATTATCTTGATCCCAAAACCAGATAAAGACACCACTAAAAAAACAGAGGTACAGGCCGATACCTGACGAACACAGATGCAAAAACCCTCAACAAAATACTAGCAAACCCAATCCAACAATACATTAAAAAACACATTGACCATGATCAAGTAGGATTTATTCCTGTCTTGAAAGGGTGCTTCTGTATTCACAAAAGTCAATGTGATACATAATATCAATAAAAGAAAAGATAAAAACCATATGATCCTGTCAATAGATGCAGAAAAAGCATTTGACAAAGTACAACATCCATTCATGATAAAACCCTCCACAAGATAGGTGTAGAGGGAACATACCTCAACATAATAAAAGTCACATCTGAAAAACCCACAGTGAACATTGTAATCAATGGTGACAAACTGAGAGCCTTTCCTCTAAGGTCAGGAGCAAGAAGAGAATGTCCACCCTTACCACTGTTATTTAACATAGTACTGGAAGTCCTAGGCACAGCAGATGGACAACATAAATAAAAGGCATCCAAACTGGTAAGGACAAAGTAAAACGATCCCTATTTGCAGATGCCATGATACTACATATAGAAAACTCTAAAGACACCACCAAAAAAGCACTAGAGATGATAAATGAATTCAGTAGGATTGCAGGATACAAAAATCAATGTACAAAGTTCTGTTGTATTTCTATATTCTATATTCTAATAATGAAGTAGCAGAAAGAGAAACTAAGAAAACAATCCCATTTACGATTGCACTATAACCAATAAAATATCTGGGAACTAAAGAGGTGAAAGACCTGTACTCTGAAAACTATAAAATACTGATGAAAGAAATTGAAGATGACACACCAAAAAATAAGACAGTCCATGCTCATGAATTGGAAAAACAAATATTGTTAAAATGTCTACACTACTCAAGGCAATCTATGCATTTGCTGCAATTCCTATCAAAATACCAAGAGCTAGAATAAACAATCCTAAAGTTTGTACAGAACCACAAAAGACACTGAAGAGCCAAAGCAATCTTGAAAAAGAAAAGCAAAGCTGGAGGCATGACAGTTCCAGACTTCAAGTTATATTTCAAAACTGCACTAATCAAAATGGTAGGAGACTGGCAGAAAAATAGACATAGATCAATGGAAATGAACAGAAAACCCAGACGTGAACCCACAACTATATGGTCAGTTAATCCGTGACAAAGCAGGAAAGAGTATCCAGAGGGAAAAAGACAGTCTCTTCAACAGACGGGGCTGGGAGAACTGGACAGCAACACGCACAAGAATGAACCTGGACCACTTTCTTACACCACACACAAAAATAAACTCAAAATGGATTTAAAAACTAAATGCATGATCTGAAACCATAAAAATCCTAGAAGGGATCTCAAGCAGTAATTTCTCTGACATCAGCCATAGCAACATTTTTCTAGATCGGTTTCCTGAGGCAAGGGACATAAAGGCAAAAATAAACTATTGGGACTTCATAAGATAAAAAGCTTCTGCACAGCAAACAATCAGCAAAACTAATAACATCCTACTGAATGGGAGAAGATATTTTCAAATGACATATTTGATAAAGGGCTAGTATCCAAAATACATAAAGAACTGATATAAGTTACCACCAAAAAAAAAAAAAAAAACAACAACCAACAACAAATAATCCAATTTAAAAATGGGCAGAGAACATGGGCATTTCTCCAGAGAAGACATCCAGATGGCCAACAGACACATGAAAAGATGCTCCTCATCACTCATCACCATGGAAATACAAATCAAAACTACAATGAGATACCACGTCACAACTGTCAGAATGGCTAAAATCAGCAATACAAGAGACAACAGGTGTTGGTGAGAATGTGGAGAAAAAGGAACCCTTATGCGCTGTTGGTGGGAATGCACACTGGTACAGCCACTGTGGAGAACAGTGTGGAAGTTCCTCAGAAAGTTAAAAATACAACTGCCCTACAATTCAGCAATTGCACTACAGGGTATTTATGCACAGGATACAAAAATACTAATTCAAAAGGATACATCCACCCCAATGTTTATAGCACTATTATCTACAATAGCCGAATTAGGGAAGCATTCCAAGTGTCCATCAGCTGATGAATGGATCAAGAAGATGTGGTTTATCTATACGATGGAATACTACATGGCAATGAGAAAGAATGAAATCTGGCCATGTGTAGCAACATGGATGGAACTTGAAGGTGTTATGCTGAGCGAAATAAGTCAATAAGTCAGGCAGAGAAGGACAGATACCATATGTTTGCACATATAGGTGAAGTAGGAGGAGCTTAACGGAGGACCTTGGGGGAAGAGATGGGGAAAAATAGTTGGGAAGAGGGAGGGAGGCAAACCATGAGAGACTCTTGAATGCTGACAACTGAGGGCTGATGGAGGTGGGGGAGAGGGGAAGGGGGGTGATGGGCATGGGGGAGGGCACTTGTTGGGATGAGCACTGGGTGTTATATGGAAACCAACTTGACAATAAACTATTTAAGAAAAAAAAAAAAGAAGGTATGGTCTATATATAGACAATGGAATATTAATTGGCCAGAAAAAAGAATGAAATTTTGTCATTTGCAACAACATGGAGGGATCTAGAGAGGATAATGCTAACTGAGAGAAGTCAAAGACAGTACCATATGATCTCATTCATATGTGGAATTTAAGAAACAAAACAAATGAATAAAGGGGGGAAAAAAGAGAAAACAAACAGACCCTTAACTACAGAGAAGAAACTGATGATTACCAGAAGGGAGATGGGTGGGGGGATGGGTGAAATAGAAATAGATGAAGGGGATTAAGAGCACACTTATCATGGTGAGCACAGAGTAATGTACAGAACTGCTGAGTCACTATATATTGTACACTAATATAACACTAGTTTAACAATAGTGGAATTAAATTTTAAAGCTTTTAAAAAGATTCTACATGTTTTATAAGAATCTGAAGAAAATATATAAGTAAAAAGTCATGAAAGAGGAAATGAACATACAATAGAGAAGATTGATAAAGCCAAAAGTTCATTCTTTAAAATAATAAAACTGAAAAATATTACTTGAGATTAATTGCTGAAGATGTAAGAAAAAACAGGATAAAGAACATTTATGGATAACAAGGGAACACAAGTACAAATAAAATTAAAAAATAAAATATTATGAACAACCTTATGCTACAGTGTTTAAACAGAGAAAACAGTCCTAGAAAAAGAGAACTCCTTAGGAAGAAGTTAACAAACTCTATAGTCCTATAACCATAACAGAAGTTTTTAAGAAGTCCCTACAAAGAATACCTGGCCTAGAGAACTCCACAAAGTCCACCAAACATTCAGGAAAACAAAGTTTTGATCTTACACAGACTTCCAGAGAACAGAAATGGAAGGAACATTTTCTAACAGATGTCATGAAGCCAGCCCAACCTTAATACCAAAGCCAAACAAGGACAGAAGAAAGGAAAATCACAATACAAGCTCACCCATATAGAAAAATGCAGAAACCTCAGGCAGCAAGAGATGAAACAAACATTAAAAAGAAAATATGCTATGGCAAAGTTGGTTTGTCCCAGGAATTAAACTTGATTAAATATTAGCAAATAGATTAGTAGAATCACTGTATTAACAGATTAAGAGGAAACTATTTCAACTGATGCAGAGTTCAATACATAAGAAGTTAACTCATAACAAAAACTACTAGCAAACTGAAATAGCAAGAAAATGCCTTAAGTTGATAAAGGATAGTCACAAAAACCCACAGCAAACATTATATGTGATGAAATTTTGAAAGTATTCTTTTCAAGATCACAAACAAGGTAAGTATGCTCAGTATCACCACTTCTTTTTTAATTTTTAATGTTGTTTTTTTTTTTGAGAAAGAGAGAGACAGAGTGTGAGTGGGGGAGGGGCAGAGAGAGAGAGAGGGAGACACAGAATTCAAAGCAGGCTCCAGGCTCTGAGCTCTCATCACAGAGTCCAACGTGGGCTTGAACCCACGAACTGTGAGATAATGACCTGAGTTGGAATTGGACACTTAACCGACTGACGGGCACCCCCCACCGCCCCAGTATCATCACTTCTATTTACCTGAAAACATTAGCCAGTGTGATGCAGCAGAAAAAAGAAACTTATAAAGGAAACAGGAAAAACAAAATGGTGACATTCTGTAGAGGAGACATTGTGAGTCTACAGTAAATTTAAAAGCATCTTCAGATACATTTGAATTAGTAAGCGAGCATAGAAACGTTTCTAAATACAAAAATCAAAATTAGGGGCGTCTGGGTGGGTCAGTCGGTTAATGTCCAACTTCGGCTCAGGTCATGATCTCATGGTTCGTGGGTTCGAGCCCCACTTTGGGCTCTGTGCTGACAGCTAGCTCAGAGCCCGGAATCTGTTTCAGATTCTGTGTCTCCCTCTTTCTCTGACCCTCCCGTGCTCATGCTCTCTCTCTCTCAGAAATAAATAAAAAACACTAAAACATTTTTTTTCATCAAAATTAGAAAGTCACTTACATTTCTATACAGCAACAATCAATTAGAAAATAAAACTGGTACCAAGAGTTATCATTTATGGTAGCAAATAAAAAGTCTCTGCAACTTAATGAAATAAAATATGTATGACCTTGATGGCAAAACACATGAAACTTTAAAGTCATTAAAGAAGACTTAAATAAAATATATAGCAGAGTTATGGCTAAGAAGACTCAGTATTACAAAGTTGTTAATTCTCTTCCAGTGGATCTCTAGATTAAAAAAAAAAAAAACTCTAATGAAAATTCCAACAGGATTTTTCTTAGAACATGGCAACTTGCTCTTATCACTTTATTTGAAAGTGAATATGCATGGTATGTCTAAAGAAAAAGGACAGGCTGGCAGAGTGCCCTACTTCACATCAAGAGGTATTATAAAGCCACTGTAATTTTAAAAAATCGGTATTGCTCATGAACAATTAGATCAATAGAACAAATCAGAAAGCCCAGAAATGGACCCAAACACATTTGGAATTTTAACTGATGTCAGAGAGGGCATTAAAGAACAGTGAGGAAAGGATAGACTATGGGTAAGTGTCCTGATTTGGAGATTATCAGTTACGTCTCCAGAAAGAAAAAAAAATCAGGTTTTATCTCAGAATATACCAAAAAATTAACTCCAGGTAGATAAAAGACAAAGGTTAAAAAAATAAAACCATAAAAGCTCTTGAAGGCTAAGTGGGAGAATAACTTCATGCCCTCAAGTAGGGAAGGATTTCTTAAATAAGACATCAAAGTACAAATTACAAAGTAGAAGACGGATAGAGTCAACTACTCTACATTAAAATTAAGTTCTATTTATTGAAATACATCATAAGTAAAAAGACCTGCCACACACTGTAAAAGATATTTATAACAAATAAAGATAAACTGACCAAAGATTAGGAGCCCTAAAAACAAAGAACACTCAGAAATAAGTAAAAAGGACAAAGAAACCAACAGAAAAATAGACTAAAATCCAAACAAGATTTTTCACTTAGTATCAAACACAAATGAACAAATATGAAAGAATGTTCAACCTCATTATTAGTCATCTGGGAAATACAAATTAAAACTTTAATGAGATACCATTACACACCAAACAGGTCATCTGTAAGTTGGATGGTACCCAGTATTGGCGAATGCAGACATAGAGCTACCAGAGTAGAAACTGGAAGACCTTTCTGAAAGTCTGGGCTTGCTTAGTAAAGCTAAACACGCACAGGCCCTATGACCCACCTATTCCATGTCTAGTGGTGATTATGAGAGGGAATCCCCTCTAGTGTATGTACAAAAACGTTCATAGCAACGCAAAAACGCTCCATACGGCTTATGCGTCCATCCACATGAGAATGGGTAATTCATCTGGTATATCCTTACAATGGAGTACCACGTCCTGGCGAAAATGAATAAACTACCGCCAAACACATCCATGTGATTGTATCTCAGAAACAGAAATGTAAGCAAAATTTGAAGAATACGTGCTATGCAATCCTATTTATCTAAAGTTTAAAAACATGTACTATTTCTGTGTATGGGCACATCCCTATGTATTAGACCGTAGAGAAAAGCAACAAAATGATGAACAGGAAACCCACAGTAGTGGTTACCCCAGTGGAAGAGAAGGTGAGGAGACAGGGCAAGGAACTTATAAAAGACACCAGTAAGGCTCAAATTCTTAAGCTGAGTGGTAGCTACACAGGTTTACATTATCTTACGTTTTTTGTAAATATTTTTATACACCTCAAGTTTAAAGAACCTACCTAGACCGTTCTAATCTGCAGTTTTACCTTTCAGAATTTACAAATGCAGAAGCCTTCTGCTTACATTGTAGGTTATATTTTCTAAGGGGATAAGGGTCAATGCCATTTAGAGAACACATATGTAAGTGTGTATTGCTCTTACCAGTGCCGTGCAAGGTAATTAAAATTAAATTGGAATTGGCTCAAAACATCTCCTCCTATGGCACAAGAAAAATATGTACATTTGGTCAGCGACAGTACGTAGCATGCTTCCTCCAACACAAATTTGCACAGTCCAGGTTATTAGCTTATCACACTGTCATATGTATCTGTCTGTTATTTCAGGTATAGGCATATCTTTTAAGAAAAAGTGATCTTTTATATCTTAGGCAGTAAAACATATGAATTAAGAAAGAAATACCTGTATAAGTAAAAGTTTCTCACTTTAAGATGAACGATAGAAGTTCTTTGAAAACCCCATTCACCATCTACTTTGGATATTGGAAGGTCATTTACTACAGGAACAAGATGGAGTATACCTCCTTGAAAGCTGAAGTATTGGGTGATTTTACGTAAGGAGTTTTAACCTGATATAAAGTAAAGCTTTTTAAAATTATGATACAAGTCAATGATGAAATGTGATTTTTTAAATAAAAAAACCCACACATTTAGAACTTTTTGGAAATACGTCTCTTTGTTAAAGTATATACCCATATGATAAATGAATTATTAAAACAGAGAGCTAGTTAGTACAATGTACTGGAAAAATAGGATAAAAATCCGTATTTTGCTTGAAATATTTGGGGTTTTTTAGGATCAAATGAATTTTATACACATACACACAAATGAGAAAGAGAGAACGCACCAAGCCCACCATCTTCGCCACATCTTTGCCAAAGGACACTCCTGGAAGCATCTGTTATTATCTGGACACCTTCCTGCTTATTAGACATTTCACAAGGTGACTTAATACTTACCTCAGAGTATGAAACTGACATTTTTACTCAAGGGAACCACATAGCCAGTTCTAATTCATTATGAAATGGTCTCAGTTAAGAAGAAAGAAACAGGTTATTAAAAATAGGGGAAGATACAGAATTAAGATAGAGACTCCATGACAAGTGAGATATAATTACTGCAAAAGAAAATTTGGCAAATGTAAATAAATAGTACCGAAGTCACCAGCTGGATGCGCCTCAGAATAGGAGCCATGAAAGTCAACCTGAAAAAGAAAGAGAAACACCCAGTGTGTATGTATGTATGTATGTATCACAAACTGTAGCCCAAGCCACTACCCCACAGCCAAGCCGGTAGTGGGAAGGTGAAGTTCTCACCCGATGAAATGCTAAAGGTACATAGGTATAGACTCAATTTTCAAAAACATGTTTCATTTTATCATTTTATTTTATATTACATTATTAAACATATATTCTATTTAAATAATTATATTATTTGTTAAAAATTATATTGGCAGCTGGGTCGTATACTATTGTTTGATAGTAAATAAACCTATCGCAAATGTTTGCACCTCAGAGGAAACACACACAGTCTTGATGGAGTCCAACCATGAGCTTCTCACAGAATGGTACTAATGTCAACTGGTGACCAGAAGGCACTTCCAGAAGTAAGTCACCAGGGAAGATGGCCATCTCCAGTTTGGGGATATGGTGGTTTCATACAGGACGTTGAAAAAGAAAGCACAGTAAGGGAGGATGGGCAAAATGGATGAAGGGGAAGAAGCGGGGACAGGCTCCCAGTTATGGAGTGAATTAGTCACGGGAGTAAAAGGCACAGCCTTGGGACTGAAGTAGTGATGTAGTAGTGCTGTGTGGTGACAGACAGCAGCTACACTTGTGAGCATGGCATGCTGCATCCGGTTGTCCAATCGCCATGCTGGACACCTGAAATTAATGTAACAGTGTATCAACTACACTCAAAAAATTAATTTAAAAAGGTAAATTTAAAAAAAACCACGTGGAACCATTACTTTCAAACAGAACAAAGTGGCACACCTTCATATCCTCGTGAGTACACAACTGGAATAAAACATGCAATTTCCCCAATGTTTGTGACTCTGAACATCACATTTATCGCTGTTTTCAGGGCACATTAGTGAATGGCTAATGCCTGTGTGATGAATGTACAGGTAGCAGGAAGATTAAGAGGAATCAATAGGAACAGATGGAAATCTAACAAATTAACTGCTTTGGGCAAGAAGTCTTGCTTCCAAACAATAGCCCAATTATGGAGAGAGCCTAAATGTCCATCAGCTGATGAATAGATTAAGGAGATGTGGTACATATACACAATGGACTACTACTAGGTGATGAAAAAGAACAAAATCCTGCCATTTGCAACAACGTGGATGGAATTGGAGGGTATTAGGCCAAGCGAAATGGGTCAGAGAAAGACAGAATCACATGATTTCACTCATATGTGGAATTTAAGAAACTTAACAGATGCTCATAGGAGAAGGGAAGGAAAACTGAGATAAAAACAGAAGGAGGCAAACCGTAAGAGACTCTTAAATACAGAGAACAAACTGGGTTGATGGGGGCGGGGAAAACGGGTGATGGGCATGAGGAGGGCACCCGTGGGGAAGAGCACTGGGTGTCCCTGTAAGAGATGAATCACTGCGTACTACTCCTGAAGCCAAGTCTTGAGAATAAATAAATAATATTCTTAAAAAAACAATTAAAAAATAAAAAAGAAGCCTAGTTTCCACATGCCCTGAGAATAACCTCAAGTTTTCCTCTCTCCTCTCAAAGGGTTAGTTTTACATCGTGAGGACAGCATCCCTCCCAAATCACCGTTAATCACGAAGACAGGTACTCACAGCTGCCATTGTCCTGAGGAACCCTTGCGGGATCCCCAGGCTGTGCCAGCTGACGTCGGCCACCATGTGAGAGGTGACTCCCAACAGGAACGCCACCAATTTCTCCGTATCCTGCCAAAGAAGCAAATTAGAGTCCTATGTGCTTGGGTCATTCTATAAAAATCCTATTAAAAGTTTTAATAAGTATGCTTTCCATTACTGAGACTTAAAAATAAAATCAGAGGGGCGCCTGGGTGGCTTAGTTGGTTAAGCATCCGACTTTCGCTTAGGTCATGATCTCGCGGTTCGTGGGTTCGAGCCCCGCGTCGGGCTCTGTGCTGACTGCCAGCTCAGAGCCTGGACCCTGTTTCAGTCTGTGACTCCCTCTCTCTCTGACCCTTCCCAGCTCACGCTGCCTCTCTCTCTCTCTCCTAGAAATAAATAAAAAAAAAAAAAATTAAAAAAAATAAAATAAAATCAGAGGCAGGTACGTTGTAGTTTCTAGTCACAAAAATCATAAAGGACTCTTTGAAATATTTTATGGATATCAGATTAATTATTCTCAGAACAAAACAAGGAAGAGACGTACCCCAAACGTTTTTAAGTGGTTTATTCAGATATTAACTAGCCGCATACTGTGTTTGGTATTGAAAGTATGTGGAGGGGCGGGGAGCACCCTCCCAGAGCCTGGGGTGGGGGGGACAAACGGAGTAAACACGGACGTAAACACGGGGCTGGGCGGGTCTAGGACAGAATTTCTTCTTGGCCTTAGGGGGCTGTGCCTACCTCCGCCCAGGGAAGAGGATAGTTCTCTCGGATGTAATGAATGCTTGCATTCAGAAATGGGGTCCAGTGGGTGCTCTCGGACACGTCATGGAATTGCCCTGGTGAAAGAGAGGGTCTCAGGACTTTCTCAGCAACTGGAGACCCGCAGTCAAATCTGCCACCAGCACGGCCGCCCGCTGCAACCCTCCTCCCCCTTCCCTCCGAGTCTCTTAGTTTCTTCTCTTGATGTTCAGAGGATGCCTCTAGAACAGAAGAGGCAGCACGCACGTGCACGTGCACACACACACACACACACACACACACACACACAGAAAACGGAGCCTGAACTGGCTCACAGCATCTCGATTCACTTGGGCTGCATGGAAGCGGGAACAGTTTCCAATTCTGTGCTCTAAAGGGGAGAAGAGGAGGGGGAGCCTGGGAGGCTCAGCTGGTTAAGCATCTGACTCTCGATTTCAGCTCAGGCCATGACCTCACAGTCTGAGAGATGGAGCCCCGAACTGGCTCTGCGCTGACAGCATGGAGCCTGCCTGGGATTCTCTCTCCCTCTCTCTCTGCCCTTCCCTCAAAGTAAAATAATTTTAAAAAATAAGAAAGGAAGGAGAGAAGGGTTAGGGTTAGTGGTGTGAGGGAAGTGCGGTGGGAAGGGGGTGTACAGGTGTGTGTGGCGGGGTGTATATTTACTGTGTGTGTGATCTTCATCCATCACAGTCCACCCTCCTAACAGCACAAAACACAAAAAGTAGAAACTCCAAAGGCCTTCAAGTATTTTAATTGACAACAATTGTTTTATAAGGGCACTGGCCCCAAGCTTCGGCTGAGAGTCTCTATTCCCCTTATTTCCACAGTAGGGGGAGGAGGCGGGGCTGGAAAGACAGTCCGGGGCATCTACTCGAAACCTCCCAAAGCCACACATTCTCCCTGGGTGTCCAATGTCACAAGGGGCAACCAAAACCAGAACTCCAGAGTTTAGGTCCCTCAGTTCAAGTATTTTCACAGTCACTCAAGTAAAAACAGCCTAACCAATTTTCAATCACTGGTTTTTCTGGAAATGATTTTAAGAGATGTTGCAACTAAGAAATGTGATTTTTGCACTAATGGTTTTCCTAGAGATAAAACTTACAATTCCTATTTTACAGAGCTCAGTACAAATCCAAAATTAAATATGGCGGTAGCCCGTTTGACAAACCTCCCCTTAACCAAATTGTTTTCTGTGCCCCTCTGTAAACCTCCAGACCAGAAGCAGAAGAAAGCCCTGTCCCCTCTGGGGCCTGGGGCCTGGTGGCAGCCAGCAGACTCCTGTCCCCACAGCCGTGCTGTTACAGGGAGTGGGCAGGGTCCCTTCCATTCCTGGCTAGGATGGTCCTCGGTGTTGTAGTTATGGGCTTTGCTCAGTATTAGGTAAACTGAGGCAATGGAAGAACAAAAACAAAGCTGTTTCCTTGGCAGCTGAGCATCTGAGAATGTTTGCTTTCGAAAGATGCCATGAAAGTGAACCCCAAAGACGAAAGACAGGTGCTACGGAAGTAGGTGTGTGTGAGACCCAGGTAAGATCTGGAAAATTTTCATAAAAGTCTAAGTGAAGTCTGCATCGAGTTCTTCATAATCAGTACATAGTTTATAATTCTTTTTTTTAATGTTTGGTGGGTTTTTTTGTTTTGTTTTGTTTTGTTTTGAGAGAGAGACAGTATGAGAGGGGAAGGGAGAAACAGAATCCGAAGCAGGCTCCAGGCTCTGAGCTGTCAGCACAGAGCCCGACGCGAGGCTCGAACTCACAAGCAGTGATATCATGACCTGAGCCGAAGTCAGACGCTTAACCGACTGAGCCACCCAGGCGCCCATATTTCATAATTCTAAGCGATCTCACTGATGGATCCGTCTGTGTTGGTTGAGGCAAGGCAGTTACTGCTGTAGGAATAAAGGAAAATTCAGGAGAGTGGGAACTACTTTTTCATTCTTCTCAAAGTCTGCAGTACCATACGTTTAGCTGTCTCTTAAAATGTCATATGTTAAGCAAGTTTTCTCAAATTTAATTGACCAAAACAAGTCCTTTTTTACTTCTTTTTTACGGAAGAGATCAAGGAACTGTTAAATTACCAAGAGACATTACAGCTCCCTGAACGCAGTGTTGGGAAGGGCTAAAGAGGAAACAGGTTTAGGAAAAAACTGTTACAAGCAGGCAAAATAATAGGATTAAGAAAGGATAGTTAACAGACTAAGAAGGAAACAGAAAAAAAAGAAAAACCCAACCTTCCAGATGTGAGAGACACGAAAGCTTAGTTATCTGGTAGTAACTACAGGGGTGAGTGGCAACAAACATTCCACTGGGCCCCATGTATCAAACCGAACATCGACACCATGGCTATGACTGCAAAATTCCAAAACTGGTTTACGTGATGACCAAAGTACTGGATGTCTTTCCTGTGTCCCTCAGATCCGAGGTCCACCCTTCTCTGCCCCGCCCTGTACCCCTGAGGGACCTGCTCAACTGGCCTCTTTGCCCTCCGGCTTTGGTTGGGTTGGGCCAATGGGGAGATCTGAGGGGAGAGAAGGGAGAGAGAGAGAGAGAGATGGGGGTATTCATTCTCCCAGCTCCCCTGCTGCGGGGTCACAGGGCCTGGCTGTGTCCCTGCCTGAAGGTCTGGCCCCCAGCAAGGGGTCCCCCATGCAGCAACCTGTCTGCAGATCCGTTAACTGCCCCCTTCCTGCACTACCCTCCCCAGTTCTCTTACACTGTGCCCATATCCTTGTAAATGGCCACCTTATCCACACACCCCAAATTACTCCACTAGAGAGCACCTTCCGTGCCTGATGAGGCCCCAACTGACACACCCCATAAGCCCAATTTGCTGGTAACCCCACCTTAGGTCTACAGAACACTTGGCAAAATAATACACATTAATGTCAACAAAAATCTGGTTAAGAGGCAAGCTGGCATTACTACTAAGTTACAGGCTCGGAAACAGACTCAGCCCCGCCAGGACTTTTTAAAAGTCATGTGCTAACAGACAATGTAGCAGGAACAAGAACTCAGACCCTTCAATCTCTTTCAAGATGTTTTCTCTTCCACCACAAAGCAGTAAATTAAGGGTGCACAGGATCGTGAAAAAGTTCAGAATTTCTGTGCTTATGTAGGTAAGGTTTGGTTACATGGAAAACGCAGTTAATGTGAACCAAGTCACTGACCAACAGTAGTGGAAGATATGATGTGCTGCGGTTTTTAAAGGCTAGCCATTCCTGTCGCTCAAGTGAAGGTGACATTGTTTGATCTGTAAAACTCCATCTTACCTCTTTCGCAGATGCTGGGGTAAAACGCATCGGGAAACACAGCTCCCGCCTGATATGCATCCTGGTGTTCGAGCAACAGCTGGGGAGCAGGAAAACAGAGATCAGGGGCCAGAGGCAGCAGCTCAGGCAAGCCCACCAACAGGAGGAGGAGGGGGGAGGCTTATGTCGTAATAAAAACTCATGCAGAATCCAAGACAACGCCCTCCAATAGCGGACCTCGGGCTCTGTCCCAGCAAACACAGGCTGATCAAGAAGTAGCAAAAACCACTTATTTCACTTGCTCTGTTCACCCAGCAGAGTGGAATTTCCCCAAGGTTATTTCACCACCTGCTTTGTGGAAAGGTTTTCAATGATCCAATGAAGTCAGTGAAAAGAGAAAATACACACACATACATACATAAAATATGCACATACACATAATAGACACACATACATGTAATATACATGCATATACATTTACACAGTTGACCCCTGAACACAGATTTGAACTGTGTGAAGTCCACTTACACACAGATTTTTCCCACTAAATATAGTAGAGTACTCTAAGTGTATTTTTCTTAATGTATTTTCTCATTAACATTTTCTTTACCTTGCTTTATTAGAATAGAGTATATAATATATATAACACAAAATAAGTGTTAATTGACTTATCAGTAAGACTTCTGGTCAACAGTAGGACTATTAGTAGTTAAGTTTTGGGGGACTCAAAAGTTATAGTTGGATTTCAACTGCCTGGGGGATTGGCCCCCAGCCCCTGTGTTGTTCAAGGGCCAACTATGTGTATACTGACATCTATATATACACAGAAGTTTACAGTTGCTATGTAAGATTATGTATTTTGTGCTTGGGGGGAGGGGGCTCTTCCTTGGTTGACTGGCTCACTCCTTTCTGTTCTGACCCCCTTCAGGTGGGCCCAGCTGTTTCTAGAGGCTAGAAAGCCAGGACTACATTTCCCAGACTCCATGGAGGAGCCCCTTCTTCCCTTCTGCTTCTTCAGCTAGCAGGGAAGTGCCTGGTTTGCAGCAGAGGTAGGGGGTCCCAGGTAGAGTACAGAGCACCCATTTTGCTAGTAAGGAATGTGGCTGAGGTGAGGAGGTCCTGGAGCCAACAGTCAAGATGGCGGCTACTTGTTCTCCAGCCTGTGTGGGAGGCAGCTGGGTCTGGAGCTGGGACCGGGACCATGACTGTTTGCCTAGACCCAGGTGGCCCTGGCAGGCCAGCTCTGGCTGTTGTTCTGGGTGTTGTTCTGGGAGTCCTGCCTGGACGCTCAGCCCACAGCTTGCCCTTCCAGTGCTCACCCGTGGTCAGCACTGAGTTCCCAGTTCTGGGCATCGAGTCCCTCTCAGCAGAGGGGTTTCCGTGATCTGCAGATGAACTCTGCCACAACGGGCCAAGTAAAAGCGTGGCAACCTAAACTTTCTAATTTACCTGTAAGGACTTACTAACCCCCATCGCCACCATGATGTTGGGCTCGGAGATGCATGTTTGATGAAAGCTAGCTCGGTTAGAACCCTCCCTGAGACTCCTCATCTGAGCTGTGTGGAAGACACCCCCTTCCCTTTGGGGATTTTCAGCATCAAGGCCGAGTCCTGGATGGCCGGTGTCCTCCACGTGGAGAGAGACCACCACTCGACCCGTGGGTAGAGCTCTGTTCCAACACTAGAAGTTACGTGCGCCCATAAAGTCTCCTTTTCCCTCTAAAGATAGCTCGAGATGGACTTTTGTCACTTAAAAATAATAGTTAACTTTATTGAATATTTACCTTGTCAGCCACTGTCCCTGTCATTCTGTATGATAAAGACTCGAATCTGCATCTCTAGGTGAGGTAGATCCTGTTATTTAACATTAAAAAATAATTCCGAAGTAAATTTTGTAAAGTAAATGTGTCAGCAAAATAGGAGACTGCTGGGGGGAAATGTATGGGGGAGGATGCATCCTTCAGATATAAAAATGTATTTTTAAGCTACAGAAAAAATAGTAGCAGCATACTGAGCTCGAAAGACATCAATGATGGGCGCCTGGGTGGCTCAGTCTGTTAAGCATCCAACTTAGGCTCAGGTCATGATCTCGCGATTTGTGGGTTCAAGTCCCACGTCGGGCTCTGTGCTGACAGCTCAGAGTCTGGAGCCTGCTTCAGATTCTGTGTCTCCTCCTCTCTGCCCGTCCCCTGATCACACTGTCTTGGTCTCTCAAAAATAAGTGTTTAAAAAAAATTTTTTTTAAAGAGATCAGTGAAACAGAAGAGTAAGGAAACAGACTTAAGTGTACACCATATACAGTGATGAGGAGTGAAGGGTGGAGTAACCAATAAATGGTGTTGGCGCAATCCTGTGGCGGGGAGGCTTCCAGCGTGGCATTCGGACATGGACTTGAAATTAGCATAACACGAGGTTACTAAACCCCTAACAGGCTTACACCAAAATAAATACAAGGTGACTTAAAGAGTCAAAGGCAAAACAAGAAGGCACGAACTTAGCAGGACAAAACTTAAGGAAATAACTGCACCATCTCAGAGTGGGAATGATTTTTCTAAGCAAAGCATCCAGGAAGAATCCATAAAAGAAGAGAATGATGCATTTACCTCAAAATGTAAGCATTTTGCATGGTAAAAAGCACCAGAAGCAAATTTAAGAGAAAAGTAACCATGAGGATCATTTGATACATGATGGGGGCCCATATATTTAATAAGTCATTTTTCCACATCAAGATAAAGATAAATATCCTAATTGAGAAATGAGAAAAGATATAAACGATTCACATAAGTACTAGAAATAGTTCATAAACTTGAAAGTATATTTAACTTCATTCATAATTAACTAAAATGCCAATTAAATCTATAACAAAACACTATTTTTCACCTACCAAATTAGCAAAAATGAAAAAATAAAAAAACAGCCTCTAAAAGTGACTCTGTTTCCAAATCTGAAGATACCTATTAAGAAATTTCAATGGAATACATGAGCAATTAATGGGGACACCTGGGTGGCTCAGTCGGTTAAGAGTCTGGCTCTTGGTTTCGGCTCAGGTCAGGATCTCAGGGTTTGAGTTTGAGCTCTGTGTCAGGCTTTGCACTGTCAGTGTGGAGCCTACTCGAGATTCTCTCTGTCCTCTCTCCACTGCTCACTTTCTCTCTCAAAATAAACAAACGTTTTTAAAAAATGAAATACGTGAGCAATTAAGGATATTAATCCTTCCTCAGTCCTATAGGTCTTTCTGGTCTAGTTTTGTTTCTGGGCCAAATGGACTCCACTAGCAGTAGCAGGGCTGAGCCTGGTCAGGAAACTGGCCGCAGACAAGGAGATTGAACACTTAGGAATACGGATCGAGAATGACCAAGGCCAGGTTTCTCACTATTGGAGGAAGGAGTCACAGTTACAGACATGAGAAGCTAGAACGAATCCTGTGATGATGGAACGTAATTGGAGAGATTTTTGCGTGAACTTACGGCTTTCAATAAACACAGATAGACACCAAAGTCAACTGGAAGTGGAATCTGGGACAATGGAAGCATCAACATAAATGTAGTAACGTAATATAAACCATTAAGTAGAAATCCATGAGCATATGCGGGTATAAGTAAATATACGAATGGAGAAGAAGGAAAGACTTTACAGTAGAATGCCAATCAATGTAGAATGAATAATGGAATCAGATAAAAAATTTGGCAGCCATCATAAGAATTATTTCAGGCAAGAATTATCAATGGATACCAAAACCAGTGGGAAAAACTTGGAGAATATTTACATTACCTCAATATCTCTCCCCAGAAAATATTTACTTGCTAATTAAAAAATAGAAAATACTGGGGTGCCTGAATGGCTCAGTTGGTTGAACATTCAATTGTGGATGTTGGCTCAGGTCATGTTCTCGTGGTTCATGAGATTGAGTCCTGCATCGGGCTCTGCACGGACAGCGTGGAACCTGCCTGGGATTCTCTCCCCCACCCCCCATAGCCGCATCCTCTCTTTCTCTCTCATAATAAATAAACCTTTCTAAGAAGTAGAAAACACTTATTAAATTTCCATTATAAAAATGTGAAGACACCACCTTAACCAAAAAGTTACCATCACTAAGACTTCTGCTTCCAGGAAGATGGAAAAGATGTACTTTTCCTTATTCCTCTTGTGAAGGCTAATTAAGAACCCTGGACATTGTACACAGATGGAGCCTCAGAAAACTCTGGAAGGTGGAGGGAAGTATGCAGATGGCTGGGGACTCAGGAGCTGAAGATGATACCATGGAAAGTTCTCTGGATTTTCTTTTTGCTTCCTATGTCCCAAACTGGGTACCAGAAAAACTAGAAGCTCCTATGAGCTTAGACTAAACACATAAGCGAAAGCCACAACAAAAGCTTGCTGTAAGCAGGAGACCAGAAAGGAGGCAGACAGGCAAGACAGAAACTTTTAGACAACAGTCTTTCTATGCCACAAACACCACAGAAAAGACTGTGGCCCCACCCTCACCAGGACTTTCATCTGTGCTGTCCTGTCTCCTGTCCCCACCCCTCATCATCAGTGGAAACCTTGGGGAGAGCCTGGACATACAATCCCAACGGGCAGTAACATGGCACCTCGCCCCACCCCCACTGGGTGGAACCAGAAAAGACCCCGGGGAGAGCGGACGTTCAACATCACAGTGACACCCCCCACCTCCAGGATCTGTAGAGGCCACTGTGAGGAGCAGTAATTAGGTACTTCTACCCCTCCAGCCAGGGAGGCATCACTGGAGACCCAAGGGAACCTTGACCTCTACCTCCAGCTGGCAGGAGAGTTAGGAGGTAGAGGTCTGCCCACCGCAGGCCCTTCCCAAAGTGGTGTCAAAGGAAGTTGGCTGAAATACAAGGTTTCAGGGCGCCTGGGTGGCTCAGTCAGTTAAGCATCGGACTTCGGCTCAGGTCATGATCTCATGGTTTGTGATTTTGAGCCTCACATCAGGTTCTATGCTGACAGCTCAGAGCCTGCAGCCTGGAGCCTGCTTCGGATTCTGTGTCTCCCTCTCTCTGCCCCTCCCCCATTCATGCTCTGTCTCTCTCTCTCTCAAAATAAATAAATTAAAAAAATTTTTTAATAAGTTTCAAGT